CCCCCCACCCACCTCGCGCGCGCGCGCGCACACACACACACACACAGAAGATCACCTTCATAGATATATTTCAACGGTGAAAGAAATCGGTTTCCGATCCTTATTAGTTGCAATTCCCAATAGCGAAATGGAAGTGCCGAAGAGAACCAGACACGATCCCACCTTGAAATGCGTCGATGATCTGCGTCATCTTACTTCCGTCGAAGTAACGAAGGACAAGAAATAACGGAAGTAAGTGGGCACACTCGATGACCGATATCCGCTGAAATTTGTGATCCGGAACCACGTAGGACCGTTTCTACCCCATATACATGGCTCCTTGTAATGGGAAAAGTGACAAGGGGTAGAGGGCCATTGACAGCCAGCCCAACGGGCGGTAACTATAGGGGGCGATGCCTGTTACGCTATGACCCCATAGTCAACCACATATTCGTCTACGATATATCCTATTTCGATGTTCGTTCTTTGTTCACAGTCGTAGAATAACAAGGAATACAAATTTAACGTAATAGCTTTTTTTTTAATACATTACCTTATTATTCGGTGATAGGAATTGTGTTTTTTTGCTACACTAAATAAATCTTTGAGACTTACATTTTAATATTAGCCGCTTCGCGTAGGATAAACGTGTCATGTTCAAAGAAAACGGGGCCATATGTCGCTCTGGGTGATTTCCATTCATAAGGCCTCCGAGGAACCTCCATGAAGGATGATCCAGGGCACCTTCGTATTCGTCGACCCGAAAACTTTTGGACATAAAAAATGAAATTTGATATACCTTCTCGATCCCGAATGCTTCTTCCTCGATTTAAAAACGGAGAATAGACAATTGCGAGCTCTAGGAATTCAACCAGCAAGACCAATTACGTCGGCAATTCATATCTTCGGTTGAACCAGAATAATACGCAAGACAAAGAAAACCTCCTCTGACTATCTCTCAGACCATTTTAATTTGGATTTGAGATCGTAAGTTGTAGACAGGAGTCGTATATTCTTAAAACTTTATGAACTCCTAGTGAATGAGGTGCTGATACTTTTTAGGTGTTGCATATGCACACGGATTTGTATTTTTCGTTATTCTCCTTCCAAACGCCTCTATTTCGCATTTCATCTCTTCGCCAGATTTACTTTTGGCGTCTCTGATGCTCTCCTTATCGTTTCTACAAATGTTTTACGCATCGTTGTAATATTTGATGGGCAACAAGATGCCGAAAGTAGAGAAAAGAACAGAACAGAAAAGAAAAGAACCTTAGATGCCTTTCGATCAGACAGAGTTTGCAAGTGTCGGCGGTGGTCAGAGCTGTCTGATCTAAACCACTGTCATGGAAAGTTTGTAACACGGTGTGCCATATACTTTTACTTTCTTCAAGTTTGGCGAGATTGTGAAAATGTAAAGCAGAATTGCAATCCGAAATCGTTTGTTCTTTCATCACTGTAACTGAATTATGCTTATCAATTGAGAATCGCTATGCCTACAGCCCCAAATAGACAAATGGGCTGAATTTGAACTCAAACTGTATTCTCCAATAAATAAGTTTACAAAGTTTATACGCAGTTGCGATTTAAGAATATAGAATTTATCTAGTTGAGATGTAACTGTTACAAGATGTGTTTACCGGATCAAATCCTGATTTTGAATAAGAGTGTGACTATAATATGTGCTCAAATTGAATTCGCTATGTAACGCCGCACAATTGTCTATCTGGGACATAGAGAACCTTGCTGTACTTCGTGGTGGCTTGTAAGGATGAAAGCCCTCTTGGGTATTTAAAAATTTCCAAAATTCCTTAACCTTGACATAATGGTTGATACTGTTTCCTTTAGAAAACAATAATTCAATTGGAATCTTCTCTTTATCTGTCATTATATCGAAAGGGTTTGCACTTCGTTTCTATGGTTCTGCACATATCTATAAACGAAGCATACAAAGTTTTGAATTAGCGAGTTTATGTGAAACGGCCTTTCTCGTTCGTGATCTAACCGACATGAGTAACGTAACTGTGTCGATAATGTAGGTTTTAGTAACTTCTAAATTTGACTGCATCGCACGACAAATAAATGAATTGGAACTACGTATAATCACAGTGATCGCACGCCACACCATAAAGTATTGTAGATTACGACATCTCTTTTATTGTGCTTCTGATTCTAGCCTAACTTCAAGATTCTTGGAAAATCACCCTTCAATCTGTGTATTTTACTGACGATAGTCCCACTCTAAATTCTAATAATGAGATCCCTTACTGGATTGAGTTTACTGAAAAACAACTAAAAGTTACGGTACTTTTGTGTAAATTTATCATAAACTTTAAGTGGAATTTAGGGTAAATAACATAATATTACTTACAATTTATTAAAATTGTACTCTAACTATTCACTAAAAACTTAAAGATAATTTGCAGAAAAGAACTGTAAATTTAAGTGATTTTTTCTGTGAAAGTACTTAGAAAATAGACTCTGATTTAACGATAACTCCACCAAAATATAATTATAACCGAAAATTGACTGTAACGTTAACAAAGTTTTAGTGAACGCAAATCCACTAGTGTCAGTCTGTAGGATATTGTTACTCTGAAATTAGCATAAAAGACAAGAACTTTTCGCAATAATGGCAGGACATTTTTTAACGATCCTTGATATTATACTAGTTGTCGGTAAAATAGATATTCACCGCCAGATTCAAATCATTGAAATTGCTAAATTCATTGAAGAGCCAGTCTCGTTACGGGAAGATTCCGTCTGATTTACATAATATGAACAATTTAAATCGAAATTTTCCGATCTTCTCCTAAGATCTATAGACTTTTTAAATATGATCCAAGAAAGGAAGTGCGAGAGTAATTGATCGAATGCCGATGATGTCATTGGTCCGATTTGGCCAGTATCAGCCAGTATAGTGCACGTCGAGCAACGGCGAGAATGTCAAGATGGCTGCCACGTACATCTGATCGGAGGAGTGTGCGCCTACGACTGTTCACCACATCGAACGTAAAGTCCTCAAATCTGTTCCGTTTTTCATAGTGCTGGTGATTGTGAGGATAGCGAGTGGATCGGGTGTAATCGATGAGGACCACTTTGTGTGCGCTCGATGAGATTGTCTATCCGCGCGGCTGGCGGCGGCTAGCATTGAGCCATGTTCAGCAAAAAACTTCACGTAGACGTCAAAAAGTCAACACTTAAAATCCAGGATGTCAAGAAGGACAGTGCCACGCGATTCAAACATCTTAAGATAGTTCTAGGTGAGCCGATTATTAACAGTATCAAACAGCCAATCATCTTCTCAACGTGCGATGTGACTGTTTTTTCTTTTTATTTATCCTCTTACGAAGAGCCATTCATGCACTGATGTGTCAGCAACGGTCCTAACCTGTTCATGAGAGATTGTGAACACTGAATCAAATATGAAGGCTGCTCTGAAAACTCAGCAGATCTAGAGCAGTTTAACCTTGAACATACCTGGGAAACAATCAGAATTTGTTTAAGTATCAAAGTATTTACAGTGTTCATTGTTTCGAGTTACTTTGAAGAGACAATCTTGCTCTTGGCATTCAACTCCTATGCATTTGTAGAAAGGCCATTCCATTCATGCCTATGTCAATTCTATTCCTCATATTTTCTGACCAGTCTAATCATTCCATCGATGGCACATAAGAAATAAGACCCAAACCTGAATTTCAATCCTATTTGGAATCTTCTATACAATTGATCCTTTTTAAGAATACAAATTCCACCATTCTTTAAAAAACTTACATTAATTAGAACTCTGTGTACTCATTGGCAAAATATTATTTTACTAATGTTATGAAGTATATATTTTTTATTATTTGTCATTCAATTATTAACAATATATTATAATTATGATAAGCTTTAAATGTAATTGGAAAATTGGATGTTAATATTTAATATTAGTTTGCAATTACTGAACTTGAATTTAAGCATCCATAACTGATACTTTCGTGGTCCTAGTAAGTCATTTCATCAGTCTTAACTGATTCCTATAAAGGAAAAGAGAATAAATTTGTTCAGCCCTGAGATTGTAGTTTGACAGCATTACGAGAGCCAGTCAGTATCTAATCACCAAACCACAAGACCGCACCAACCCAATGTGGCCTCCACCTCCAGCTAAGGTTACACTCGTATTACATGCAAATATATAGGGATACAGTCACTACCCATACTCTTGATTGTCCTAAAATCAAATAGTCGCATTATCTGCACTAGATGTTCATATTATAAAAGAGTGGTAGATGCAAATGCAAAAACTTGTTAAGATAGTATGGTAGAATTAGACTATCAAGTTGATCCTATATTTTTTTTAATGCCTAATCGAAATAGCTCATTCAGCTGCATCCATTTTCTCAAATCAAAATTTGTTTAGCATCTAGTTAAAAAGATATTAATTATTAAAGTTGGGAAAAATTAGGGTGGTAGGGTTAAAAATGGTTGTATTTAGTCAGATGTCCTTAACTTTTACAGAAGTTAGCAAGTTAACCTATGCATTAGAATATATTTCCAGGAAGCTTGATATCTAAGGTGTTGATTACCAAATACTTATTGAGAAATTACTGTTAAACGAAAGGTATGAGGCAGCTGTCTCTTTCTTTCGCGTGCTCTTTTCTCCATTCGTAAACGGTAATGAAAAAAATGACGGTACAGATTCGCGCGTTCAGTAAGCATTTTTGATTTATTTATGAGAATAATTACCATTTGCTAGTATTAAATTCACATTTTTAATACATTTTTCTAATTGCTTTATGGAATTTAACAAATAATACATGGTTATTGGTTTAACTTCAGCCAAACTTTATCATAGTACTCAAACTAGTTTTTACAGATAAAAAATTATTTGGTATACCATTACTCGGAAATAGATTGATTTCACTATATAATAACAAAATTTAAGACCTACTTTTAGATCCTGTAATTATTTAATTTAACAACAAATTGTTTTATGTATTTGTATATTTGATTTTTTATTCCTGAAATCCAGAGAAAATGTTACAAACCAAAATAATGTGTTGAAGCAAAATCATCTCAATGAATTTCATTTAGTGCAGTCAGTCTAACTTATCCACCTACCTAAATACCTCAGTTTAGTTCTTTTTGAATTATATCGAGGTTAAGATATCTGAAATCGACACTGGTATCGTGAAAGAAAATAGGATAAAAAGAAGTGCTACTTACTTGCTATAAGTACAGGTCAACAAGACGGGTAGTGATGCAATAATTTTGCTCAGCTATGACTCGCCATCACAGAACCTAATACAGCTGCTCTCTCAAGATAAAGCTAGTCTTTATTATTAATGCGATCGACTGCACCAATACTTCACGTCAATGTCAAGATTCAGGACTCAGGAGGATTACATGGAAGTATCCACTTTTTTCTATTTCTTGTCTCTTTTTTCTTCCAGAAAATGTCGATATCGATGAGGCGAAGGGATTCTTCGAAGGGAATTTCAGTCACGTCTATTTCATTCTTTATGACTGCTTTGTATCAGCTGAGGCTAATCTACGTCAGCGTGGTAAGATGCTAAATCTGAAATACTGTTTTTTTTAATCTTTTCCTTTACACCTTTTTTTTTCTTGTTCAGATACCTAGACTCGCAACTACCATTTTTTAAGTATTTTGAAAGTTTATTCTAGAAATTCAAGTTCTTTTAAAAATGTCGCGATACCCAGAATTAGAGTTATGCATATTTAAAAAGAGTGAGTTTCCCTAAGTCAACGTGTATAACGTAGGTACTTGAATAAATTATAATTGCTCGTTTCTGTTCTTTACTAAATGGAAAACAATGTGCTTGCTTAGCTCATTGTGTGATCGTCTTGTACTAATATCTTGTTCTTTCTCTATTTCGCTTATCCTCACTTCACTATGCTGACAGAACTTTCCTTCCATCTCGGTAAGTCCAGTATTTCAACTGTGCATGTTGCCGGCCTCGGGCTGGAGCACTAGTCAATTCATAACTTGCACACACAACCTGTACTTGCTTGTCTGTCAATTATGACAGGGCTGAGTAATTTTCGTTGGAATTAACTATCCGAGAAGTTCCCACTAAAAATACCTGTTCTCTTCGAATTTGATATATCGGACGTTGCGACGTGTGCCTATTGTATTTGTAATCAAATAGATTACCTTGGTTCCCGTGTTATCTATGCTCATGCAAATATTATTCGCATTGCTTGAATTTTGCGCATTGTAAAAGTCAATAAGTTACTCGGTGAAATTATAAATACAATTTCTCACTTACAACAACTGATAAAGTAACACAGATCTTAATTTGCCAACACTTAAGGTCTGCTTGCATTTTTTTTGTACATTATTATACATCCGATCAAAAAGTTATATCGACTTTACTCTATCGGCAGTTCATAAGGCGCACAGGGAAGAGTTGGAGCAAGTCCTGCTGCTCTTGGAGAAGGTGTTAACTCTGCTTCCTGAACTTCTCAACAGAAGATGGCAGTGTCACAGTCTTGCCAGGATCTTGCGAAAGCTTCTTCATCCTGGTAACAGCTGGAAGCTTCGTCGTCAGGCGATAAGGTAGTCGATAAGCAGAAAAGCACACCGTGTATATTCGAGACTAACCAGTTTTTCCTGGTGCTGCATGCCTGACGCTTTTTATTAATTTCAGGTACTTTATCCTCTGGTATCAGGCACTAGGAGACAATGCACCCGATCATATACATCAGATGTTCGCCTGTCTGGTACCTGGCTTTCCACCTAGTCTACCGTCACCCTACAAATCCGAACGCAAACTTGACGTCCGGAAGGATAAGTTGACGAAGTTGTCCAACTACGACGATAAAGAGAAGCGTGAGTTCTACGATACTCAGCTGGGACATAGCATTTTCCATGACAGTAGTGTAACACAGGGGCCCATCAGTCTTGTGGATAGCGGACCTATTTTGCCATCACAGAGCGGTGAGAAACCTTTGGACAATGAAATGGTTAGATTCCTGGAAGCACTGCTCGAGTTTATGGTCACTCAAGTATGTTATTTATACTTTTTTCAAGTTCAAAAAAGCGTAAGGCTTCTACAAAATAACAATCAATTCTTGATAATTCAGGTCGTGAGGATTGAATGGAGAGACAAATATACCAGACAACATAAGTGTTTCCAGTTTCTGCTAGAACGATTCAAAGCGACTTATCTACGGTACATTTGTCCGGACTTCGATGAAAATTTCTCACTGTACAAACCGAATTTGGATTTGCCTACCATGCGAAAGGCATCCAATCAAAGTCAAGACAATTATATACTTTGCAAAGTTACGTTGATAAAATGGGTGGCTAGTTTTACACATGTTGCCAAGAAGGATGGTCCTTTTACACAGCTTTCCCAAAGGTACTATATCTAGTATCAAATCTTTACCAGCTTATCGTCCATTCAATATTAATCAACAGCTAATAAAGAAGATTATGATTGTCCTGTAGTATAACACCTCATGAAGAAACCACAGAAGCGGAGTTGCGACGTGTGTCTGTGACACAGAATGCAACCGATCCTAATCTCATACCACCTGAAATGAACGCCAGTCAGCAAGATCATCAGAATCAGGAAGACAGTACCATGTCGGCCGTAGCTCTGGTGCGAGAAGTTCTCTATGGGAATAGGGACAATGTAAATTTCGTTCATGAGCTGTATAGACAAGCATTTTTATTAGATTTTACACATGCTGGTGCTATAAGGAAGGCAATTGCTGTTTACAAAGACTGGATACAAATGAACGTAAGATGTTCCCTCCTTTCAATATGAATTTAAGTCAACGTGAATTAAAAGGATTACGACCGAGTTGATTTGTTTTTCAATACTTACACGTAGGAACTTCCGCCATTTATGCTGGAGCCTCTGGACGGACATAAGGAAAGAGACTCAGAGGAAAATCAAAGGAAAGACGGTGACGTGGATAAAAGTCCGCCAGAAAGTTATCGTCAGACACGCCTCAGGAATGATTCTTATCTTGGAGCTATTCATCGGGAAAACTTATTCGTTCGTGCAGGACTACAAAATGTTTTAGAAGTCTTCGTCACCCAGGCTTCGAATGTCTTCTTCTTGGATTCATCCGGAAGTAACTCATCGCCGACACTTCTGGAAGAACAAACTGATAGCTGCAAGAGAGTTCTGAACGTGTATCGTTATGTTGTCATGCACGCCAGACTGGAACCTGCCACTTGGGAACAATTACTTAGGTAGAGCACAATTAAATGGGCGAAAGAAACTTTAAAAAATATAAATTACAGTATTCAATGTTTTATTCATCGATACTTCCGTCTTCAGGGTATTATTACAAATCACATCACTGGTGCTGAGTGAAAAGTCGACACGTCGTAAGCAGCAGGAAACCATTGGTGGAAAATTGGCACCTGCCATCTTTCAAACTCTTATTGTAACCTGGATCAAAGCTAACCTGAATGTTATCATCTCCACGCAGCTTTGGGATCAGTTTCTCACCGTGCTCACGTCTTTAACTCAATGGGAAGATTTAATACGAGAATGGACTGTATGTATAAGAGTATATTCTCATTGCATTTATCATTATAGAATTATCAGTTTTTAAGAAAAAGTAAATTTGACATCTTGCAGAAAACTTTGGATACCTTGACGAGGGTGCTCGCCAGGCACGTCTATAATTTGGATCTGAATGACCTTCCTCTGGATAGACTAAGTGAGCAGAAGTCAAAGAAACGTCGTGGTGTTGGAACTCGTGCAGCATCCACAGGGAGCGTTCAGCCTCCTCGACGAGGAAGTGTGGATCAGGAAACTAGTGCCACTTCCAAAGAGAGCGTTACTGGTAATGTGGTGACACCTGTGCATAAGTTTTAAGTCCATGAAAGTGTAATTATTCATCTTCATTTGTGGTATTATCAGATCATCCACTACGAGACTCGAGAAAGATACGTCCGCTGCCACGGAGTGCCAGCGATAACACTATCTACAATGGCAAATCTCGCGTGAAATTTCATAGAAACCGCACACACACCGTACATTCCGGAATACCCGGTAAGTGCTAAATAGATAAAGAGTATACAATTTTTTTTTAGAAGCCCCCCATCTACATTTTCCTTCTTGGGTGTTTCGGACTTAAAAAATGATATATGTGGGCAATGGTCCTCCGTAGAGTCAGCTATGTTGCCAATATTTCAGCAAATTTATTTATAACCTTTCCCTATTTATTTTCTCTGACCTCTCGCCCGCTCCCCCCATCCCTCCCCGTATTCGTCGACTGACGCTCTCTCCTCTGCTTCTCTTATTCCCTCTTTCTATCTTTGTATAACTCTGTCTCTATATCTTTTTGCTTTGCCACTGAGACGGGTTAAAAATATCTATTCTCGTGTCATTGCCGATTGGGCGCCTACCTAACGTGCACTCGTTTCTCATCTTAGTACGTACCACAGGACAGTTAACTAGATATGGTTTCTTAGATCAAAACTAGCAACTCTTATTTGTATAAGCATTTAATATTAGCTAGTTCTCAGGGAATTTTGAAATTTCCATTATAAGAATTACTCCTGCACAAGTTCTGGGCACTCTCCATCGTTTAATGATGGCCGAACGAGAGTGTAATAAGCGTATGTCATTTCCCCGGGTGCAGTACTTCCCTTATCGATAGAGCAAGATATGGCCAGGCTATTGACGAATGGTCCTAGTGCATCTACTGGTACTTCAACGAAAATGCTCCCAAGTCGACGTGCTAAATCACTGGACAGTGTCGTCATGGTGGATAGTGAACCACCTTCGCCGCGTTGTCCTTCGCCAACACCTAGCAGCGGCGTAGACAGCAACAAGGATAGTCCAATTCAAATTGAGAACATTGATGGTAGCAGCATTGGTAAGTATGCATTTGAAGCTATTCTTATAATTTATGTGCAGTACGAAACCGGTTACGATCCATGCAATTCTTATGATGCTACTTTTTCATTTGCAATTTCTTTATTCCCTCCAATCAATATTTCTTTTTAACCCTTATCGTGCAAAGTGAACAAACTCGACGTAATACTATCCATTACCATTACATTACCTGACGTGCAGTGAGACTTTTAAATTCATTTATTTTGTCTTGTTTCTATCACTGAAGCTGTCTGCCTAAATGCTGTTGACTCTTATTCTATGACCCATTAGATATACAGTTTTCTACTATGTCACGGCAAATATAATGATTAGCAGCTGACGTAGAATACTTGTACTTTGATTTTTACTTAGACTAAGGAGATGCATTTCGAAGTGTTTCGAAGAGTAATCAAAGAAAATAGTAGGAAGTCGGCTTTACGGCGTTCAGGAAGCACAGGATTAGGATTTCCTCCTTATTGCAGGCATCAGCGAAACTCGATGTGACGGTTCGTCGAGCATACTCTTTTTATAAGTTTTACCTATCCATCCTGCTTGCATAATTGACAGCGACCAGCTTGCAGTGTAATCTTTGCACTCTCAGTATTCTGACGCATTTCGAATTATTCTCTGGTGGAATTTTTATTTTTTAACGCAGTTTTTTTTGTGTCTTTTGTTTACCTTTACCGAGACATGGCCACACTTTTAAAAGGTAAGTCACCAAATTCTCTGAGCGGTCCACAAAATTATAAAAATCATCCAATCAACAACACGTTTTTACCTTTCACTTACTGCCATTAGTAGACAACTGTGAGCGAATAAAAACAACTTTTTTTCATGGCAACCTGCAATATAAAATTGTAATATAATTGTAAAAATAAGGAAAATTTCGCAATAGATACAACGGATGTGTCGGAGAGAAGATCCGTTATGGCTGGTGGCGGTGTGCGAGGTTGGCTTCCAGATGTCGCAGTCGTCTTGTGGAGACGCATGTTGTCTGCCCTTGGAGATGTTAACAATATACAGGATCCGGCGTTACATGGTCAAGTAATGGACTATCTTGTGCAACTTACGCAAACGCTCATCAAAGTATGTATGAATAATAGTGTACTAGTATTTCGTGCATGCCGAGATCTCTTAAAGTCTAATGAAAACAGAAGACTTAATGAAGATGATTACCGTTATATTATTTTTCTTGGCAGATTCGTTTAAATCAAGGTGTTTCTGGCGACAATCAAGCGACTCCGCCGGCTCCAGAACTCATTCCACCTCTAACCGTAATTGCTCCTTGGTGTTTCAAGGTAAACTAAAGGAGAGCAGCAGAGAGAGAAATCGCTGAATAAACAAATATATTTCTTGTACTTACAGGCCATACAGCTTCCACCACAATATGAAGTTGGCAAGCTGGCTGCGTATCGTTTGATATGTCTTTTGACTATTCAACCTTTAGATATTGGTTTACCGAAACCACATCTGACACTCTTTTATCGAGCTGTTCATGGAGGAATCGTTAATAATGACACGAAAGTCCTGCACGCACTTGTCAAGTACACCGGTCCCAGATTATTCAGTCTCAATCTTCCTGGTTCCAGTCTCCTCATTTTAGATTACATTCATGCGGCGAATGTAATACTCAACAGCCACGATATCCAGGTACGCAATTAAATTGGAGAAAGAAACGTTCATGTTAAATGCACCATTTTTCCGGAGTGTCCTTCTTCCAGGCACCGAGGACAGAGGCTGTATCGATTCTTGGCTCACTGCTTTCACTTCCTGCCACAATGGCAAAATTGCCAGTGTTACAGCCAAATAATTCGGAAATAGTGACTATGACCTGTCCAGATGCAAAAGCAAGTATTGCAAATATTTCACAGGACTCTTGTCAACATAAAAGAATATTGTCTAAATATGATTTCTTATTTCTAGGAACATATTGTAACGATTCTATTGAGAAGCTGCAGACGCGAGCCAACAGGTGTAGCTAGATGTGTGGCGCTTTCGAGCATCGGTATGTTCGTCTACAGAGAATTATCTTATAGGACGCGACATCCACGAGTACCAGAGGCTGTGACGGTGCTTCTTTTAGCGCTCAGAGTGAGTTCTGCTATACTTTAACGCGCACGCTTAGAATAACTTCATAATCTCTAGCAACAACCGGTGGTTGGGATTTTTGTGAAGCACATCATCCAGTGCCGCTGACGTCTTATAAGTCTAATTATACATGTGAAGGAGTCCAAATTCAATTGGCTTGCCCTCGTTGAAACAGGGAATCGTGATTTACGAATTTTCCGCACAACTTGATAAATTTGAATGACCTGATCTTTAACCGAATCTGATGACCTGTCTTAACGAGATTTGCCAGAACTGCTGAAATTTGTCCAAAAGAGAGAAAATGACTAAGCATGAGGTGGTAGGTTTGCTCTAATAGTAGCGAGATTAGTGTCGCTGTACCGTCGAGTGGCTCGGATTGGCAGAGGCTACAGGGTGCTAGGATTCGTCGGCACAGGTTCTCTCTCCATCCTTCGGACGAGGTAGTATTTCTTCGATTTTCCCCGAATATTTTCAGTGACGTCTAGCATTCTTTATCTGGCGTCTCGCAGTGTCCGTTCGTCATCGAATCAATGTTAAGGTATAATCTGTCCACACGCTTTCAAGTTGTCCTGTGCTTTTAAATAAAATAGTTGCCGATAACTTTATCTGCTACTAATTATAATTACATTAAATGGCCCAGAATGAAACCTTTCTCCTAAGCCATCTATGCTGTAATCATTTACTGTTCTCGATGTTGCAAAGTTCTTTTGTGTTCGTCGTATTTGTCATTGTAAAGTCATCGTGATTTTTTTTTGTCATTCGCAGGCCACACACGCAACTGTCGCTCAAGTAGCATGCGACTCTTTGCTTCTACTTTGTGGTCAAGCAGATATTCTTCTGGAAATTTATCCCAACGTGCCTGCTAAGATTATTCAGGTGAATGCAGTACTGATCATTTTAGCAGAATGTACTTCGACTTTTCTCACACGTATATATTGTTTCCATGCAGGTACTGTCCGAGACTCTTGGTCGTATGACGTCTCGAGAACGGCGCAGTGCTCTGACGACGTCCATGCTATTCTGTCTTGGCGAATGGGCCATGCAACTTGGTCCTCCTGTACTATTGCGACAGTTTCAGGGAAAACCTTTGCTATTGACTTTGTTCACGGTATCAATAATTTGTTCTATTTGCTTTTGCTGTTGATCAAATTCTACAAAATTGTAGTCAATGAATGTGTATTCATTTAGGTGTTAGACACGATAGTACAAAAGAAAGTGGGTAAGGATACACAAGACTCAGCAAGGAGCTTTCAACACGATAGCGATGATTTCGATCCTGAGATCAGTCTGGATAACCTAGTGGACGAAAGTGGAGTTAAATCACCACGTCGCGGAAATGTTCAGTCGATTCAACTGGCTGCAAAGATGGTAGGTCATTAAGAATCCAAGGAAATATTTGACAGAGGTTCAAGCAGGAAATATTCAAAATATATGAAAAATAACGTAGGTCCTCATGCATCTGGTCAATCACCTGGGACACTTTCCAATGGGGATCGGAGCTGCACGTTTGTCATCGCTCGTCGTGGAACTTGACGATGTGCCTGGAATAGACAGTGACGAGTTGTCCTCTGCTGTTTTTCAGGCTCCGAACATCCAGCTTCTTATGCTCTCTAATTCTATTATAATGTCTCTCGTCGAATTGGCGGCACTAGATGCTCCTGGTGGAGGCGTGACTGCAGGTTTGACTACTGCACCGTCTACTGTAAGAGTTTTACTCCGAGATTTAGCTGGCAAAGCTTCCTGGGACAGTTCTATCCTGTATAGTCAACCATGCGTCGACGAAAATCCGTCAACACCCTTTACCAAACCTGGTACTTTTCTTACTTGCAATTTCCAAGGTCGCTTATGTTAATACACTTCTTATGGCTATTGTACTTTTAGTCGACTGGAGTATAAAACTGAGGAAGGAGGATTTAAGCAGTATCGTTTCATCGCAAAGCTCTCCACCACAGCATACAATGAGACATCGCGAACCTCATATACTACCTACATTTGCCAATGCTGCAAGCGATATGGATAATTTGGACGATGTATGTTCATAATCTGATAATTACAATCTCTTTATCAGTTCATAAGCAAATTGCATAGAGTGATAACATATTCCTGCAGCTACTTCAGTATATTGGCCACACCAGTCCTGAAGTATTGACAAATCCTGAGGTGGCGTTAAATGCTCCAGCAAGTCCGCCTCATGGACACTACCTCGACAGCGAGACGATAGCAGTGATTTTAAATCAAAGAAATATGGAGCGTGATCATGTCAATAATTGTAGTCAACATATCAGGTTAACTTTCATTAGTGGCTGTTAAAATTAAAAATAACAGACGCGCCAACATTTTTGTAAAATTATCGTTCCATCTTGCAGTATGTGTGCCTCTGCAATAAGCCCTCCTTCGTGTCGACCACCACCAGCACCATTTCATCACTGTCGCCTTTTATTCTCGCATCTCGGTCTCTCAGGCTGGGAACAACGAAGGAAGCTTCATTTGCTGGCAAAGAATGAGAAGCTCCTACGCGAATTGCGCAACATGGATGGCCAGCGTTCGCGAGAAACGCATAAAATGGCAGTGATATATGTTAGTCAGGGCCAGGAAGATAAGAATTCAATATTGAGTAACGTTACGGCCAGTAAAGAGTACGAGAACTTCGTCGCCAGGCTGGCCTGGGAAGTCGAACTCGAATCGCACACCGGTTTCTTAGGCGGCTTGATACCCGGCAAGGCATCCGGGGTCACTGCACCGTATTATGCTACATCCTTCACTGAAATTCTATTTCATGTTGCTACGAGGATGCCGTCGGACAGTCCTGAAAGTTTACTCCAAAAGGTACCAGTTTGAAGCGTTCGATAGTTTTTAAGCAGAATGAATCCGTGCAAAATTTGAGCAAATCCGTGGACTTTGTCTTTCAGACGAGGCATCTTGGAAATGATGAGATTCACATAGTGTGGTCAGAGCATTGGCGCGACTATCGGAGGGATATCATACCAACAGAGTTCTGCGATGTACTGATAGTCATCTATCCATTGCCTAACAAATTGTTCCGAATTCAAATATCGAGAAAATCGGAAATTCCCTTCTTCGGACCTTTGTTCAACGAATGTATCGTAGAAGAGAGGATTTTACCAGGTCTTGTGAGGACGACCGCATTAGCGGCCAGCAGAGCCAAGAGATCTACTCTCACCCTATATCAGCATTAGTGCGCATCGGGTTTTACCATTTATTAGTTTATTCAAATATATACTGCATTGATGTGTCATCGAAATTCATTTTTTTTTTAGTTACGAAGAAAGAGCACGTTCTATAGACACTGTAGTAAGAAATCACAAGGACGCAACGACATTCGAAGAGTTCGCTGCCAATGTTTATTCTCCAGTGTTGCCGCCAAGTCCATTCAGTGGCGTATCATCAGTGTCAGGTTAGCATGAGACAACCGAAAAGCCCTAGATGCAACCAAAAGATAAGGGAAACAATATATTAATATCGTTCGATACCGATAAAGGATCAACTACGAGCGTACAGTCCACGGCGTCATCGAATCTTGCAGCGGTACTGATAGACGGTCAGGGTCGACTCGGATTGCGCAGTAATTCTGCAGCCAGCAGTGACAATCGCGCGAATAGAGGTGACTAAGCTCAGTGCACTAACTCCCAACCACCCTGTAACACCATCCGACAAGTTAGTATTATTTGTTATTTATTATTTCTGTGATGTCTTGTCGCATCTAGCATTACCCACAGGATTAGTACTTTCTTCGTTAAACAATACGGTTGGCGGCTCTTCTCCATTTAGATGCGACAAATGATTGAGTTTCGAAAAAATAATACGTAATCAAATCGTGCATTTCTAACCTCAGAAGCTAGCTCATTAAAGATTTCGATAGATAATTTAGAAATGAATGAGAATGGATATTTCGTTTCCTCGCTTCTGACCTCACCACTCCATGTACGTGCGGTACGCATAGAATAGCTGAACAGCAACCTTTATAACCGGTCTCTCTCTCTCTCTCCTCTATTCCTCTGGGTAACTCCCTCCCTTCTAATCTTCATTACCGTCCCTTCCTCGTTTTCTACCCTTAGCTTTCTCTTCTCAACATTTACTTTACACATAGCTACGCGCCGTTCATACTTCTCGAATGCCTAGTTATTATCATGTGTCGACTCGCATCAACTAAAAATCCTGTCTTCTTTATAGTGGAGTGAAATTTATATGTATTTATCAACATATTCAACGCCTGCTGCTAAAAGTGTCTCTTAAAGAACAATGTTTTCTTTTGACAGTTTTGCAAAATCTATTGCGAGGTAATAACTCTATATATAGTGTTTAATCTAGAACTAGGATAGTCTAGAATCATGCTGGCATTGTAGATTCATTTGCAGTTTGCAAACACAAACTCGTTTGTGATGACTTACCTGATCTCATTTAGTGCAGCGGTCATTTCAATTTTATATTCGAATCATTAAGAACAAACGAATTATTTTTATTGTAAACGACACATCACAGATCCGTGCAATATCTACCTGGATGAAAGTAAGAATAATAATTCCATTTTCCTCGAATTTGTGCAGTTTCTGACAGCAGCAGAGTGTGGTTCAGCAGCGACACTCCAGATACTACGACCATCCATGGTATCTCACCGAGACCCGTGAAGAAGATGTCCTTCAAGAGTGGTCCTAAGCATAGAGGAGCTACACAGTCCACACCGCCAGATAGTCCTAGATACAAATGAGAGATCCATCTGTTTGTCCTATATTGCAAAGGGAAGAAACTCAAATGTCCATTATTACAAATCCGCAGATCCTCCGGAATCTTTTGGGCCGCGTCTCTCTTTATTAAGGCAAATTTAAAAGTTAAATTTGTGGCTGGCCACCTAGACGAAGAGTGTAAGTAATTACTACAGGAAATCCAGTAGATCTCGTATTAGGAATTGAATAATCAAGTACCTTGGCCGTTTTCTTTTATCCGTCCTTAGATTTAATTTTCTACGATTATAACGTAAAGCTTGATTTACCAGAACACAAAGATACTCTGTGCTGTGAGAGAAACTGTATTCTCCCACTTAACATTGCGTTCTATATGGACGAACAACGTATTGCATTGCTCCGATTAACAAAACAGCAAAGATGAAACATTTTTTTAGTGGGAGGAACCGTGCCTTCCTTGGTTCTTGTATTTGTTTTTCTTATACACGAAGCATATAATAAAATGCACTGTTCGATAACCAAACTAAGTTTTGGTTGAATGACCTGCTACAAAGAGCCATATTAAATGTTTTCTCAAAGATAACTGGTATCTCCTTGGATACTGTTTATTAGTAGCAATCTATTCATTTTTTCTATATCATCTACTGAAGAGAAACATTCCAGAAATATCAGCACTAATCATTGTTTGTTCTTTTAATTTTTATTGCATTTTAATAAATTTCACTTGAAAGCTTCGGCGTTGCACGGCATTTGCTACTTTTAATCATAATCTTAATTTTCGGATCCAACTATTCTCTCAGTAAACGCGATGTGGAACATTGAAAGTAACGAAGAGAATCGATACTTACTTAGTCAATAGTCGCTTCACAAAGATAATCTTAGTGTATGCGCTAATAATCAAAGTATTATTATTATTATTATTATTATTTGGAATTATCTATTATGGCAGAGTTTCGCGATGAGTTCGTTTCCATTCAACGCAATTGAGAAATAGTTCGACAATAAATTGAGTTCCTTTCAAATGATCGTATAGTTCGAAAAGAAGAAGTTTCATTATGTACTAAAAATATAAGTAATTTTGCCTATGAGCATACCGGCGTCTATGCCGCAAAGTGTACGAAACTGTGACAATTGTAGCAACAAATTGCTACATGATGAAAAATAACGAATCGCAAATTCATGGTCAAAGCAGCATTATTTTTTCACTAATCTATAGCAAACTATAGAGATGTATGTTGTATGTATTGTACATTGTTAAGGATTTGAGTCAGCGTTGAGTCATTTGAATATACATATATTAATATAATGGCGATACATGCACGATGCACGCATGCACGCACGTACGTACGTATATCCCTTACACTACGGCCAATTCAGAGAGATACAGCGTGTGCAGTTTGTACTATTATAGACTCTCAAATACGAAAAGTATATATATTATATAATATTTAAATATGTACTTACAACAAGTTGTTCTTACGAAATGTTGATACTATTGGCATTATTATAAAAGCTACCATTAATATTACGAACACGTCAGTATCGATATTAAGGAGACATTAGTAAAAGAGTCAGCTTTATGCGAACTTTGTATCTAACAGTTGCTGGATACAATGCACAAAAGAGGAATGCAGAGGAATGCTGGAACCAGCATAGAAATTCTGCTATACATACGTTTCAGACACAAGATATACAGAAGGATGGAGGGACTAACCCTTTTTACCTATATTTCAGTGGTATCGACTATTTTTCTTACCAACTTTTACATTGACGATTGAACATGATTATATTCAATAAACAATTACGCATATAACAAGTGTGCACTATATATAAAGCAACAACAAAGTGACAAAGTAAATTATCTGAATCCTATTATATTCGTAAATATGTGAGTACATACGCAGTTTGCCACGTGATTTTCAGTTGATAACGATGATTGGGTAATTCAAAAATAAATACTATTGTATCAGCGACGAGTCTTGAACACCACATGCGCAGTTCAATTCGAAAAGGACAACCTCATCCACGAAGCGAGTGAGACAACTGCGCGCTCGCCGGGTTATCTCCGAATACAGGCGTACGGATTACAGTATGGTTAGAGTTCAGTGCGCTAAGTACATCGTTTTCTCTCACATGTTGGCTTCATCTACATCACTGCGATGCTCAGTTTACTGTATGATAAGTTTATGCTCCCTTCTCATCTCTGATTGCATCATGTTCAATGCAAATTGAACGAATCGCATTGATTCTCCTGAAACCTAATTGTTTTTTTATTTGCTAATTCTGTGGACTAAATACACAACAGTGATTACGTTTACACGACGGCCTTAAAACGGTTTAATTAATACTGATTTCTAAAGGAATTGACCAATCCTAAATATTCCTTACAAGTAAAAATGTTTATGATTTGTCTATTCGTTTAGACCAGTATTAACTAAATCGGTTTATCCCGCCGTGTAAACGTAGTCATTGGCCAATCGCAGCCAGTCGTATGCGATATTCATGAGAACGTCAAAGAGTAGTCACTGGTAATCATATCAAATCATATTCACCAGTGGTTACATGGAAACTTGTCAAAAGTAACGTGCGTAGAAGATTATTAATGAAAAATACGTATTTTCAATTCCTCTTCGAGAATGGATTTATTGAATTTAACAAATTTACTTATTTCCCTGATTTGGTGATATTAAAGAAATCTATAAGAAAATTTAAAGTGAAACAGAAGCCAATCACACTTCAATTTGACAAATGTAGAAAAACCGAAAGCGTCAAGGGCGTGTTTATTTCACCACCGCAATTGAAGTCTAGTGGCTATTCGAAGGAGAAATTGTGGAACTTTAAGTATTCCTTTATAGCAAAATGTCGGGAGTCGAAAGAAATAAGACCGAACCATTAACCGCGAGAGAGATCGAGGAAGAAGAAATGGCACAAGAACTTATGAGTAAGTTTTTGGTTATTGGTTACATCGATAAAGTCTTGACTGTACTATATTAAATACGTTTCATTTCCCGTTTTAGACATGGGAATGTACGAGCACGGATTATCGTACGACCAGATGAAGGATATTCTTGGTGTAATTAGTGAGTCAAAGCATATGGCCAAGATGGAAACGGAAGGTAGAGTCTCTCATAGGGTAAGACTATATGCTTCAACTATCATTGTGGGCAATTAGTAAGATTTGTAAATTGTGTAAGATCCAAGTATTTCAAACAAGGTACATTTTTTTCATAGATATCACAGCAATCATCTCAACCTCCATCCAAAATGATATTAGAATCTAACTTACCACAACAAGTGGTTACACAAAGTGATGCACATCTGCCCAAAACAAGTTACGCATATAGAACTAGCTGTTTATATAAACAAAAATTATCTCCAGAGGCAGGAAGTTGTGAATCATCAACTAATGTATTTGACAAAAGAATTCCTCACAGTCAATATACATCCAGAGACATTGACATATCGGTTGACAAATTATATAAAGATCCAAATATTAAAGAAAATGAACTTTTAAGTTTGAATCGTATACAAGGAGCAATATCGCAAGGACCATCCTGCGAGACACAGAACTCCCAGAGCACTGAACTGAAAATCGAGATGCAACCTAAGCAAAATCAAAAGATTGAAAGATGGAGATTAAATCCACTTGATGTACTTGTCGATGAGAAGGACGTTCCCCTACCCAAGTTCGAGCGGCCCATGGGTGAAGAACGCGCACCTTTCAGCTTTTGTAACAACAGACGTACTTCTCAATCTCGCGACAAAATTATTGCCGACCTGAGCAACCACTTGGAAGAGGTGGCAGAGCTGTGGTGTGGTTGGCAAAGGACTACTACTGACACGGAGTTTCAGTGGGGGGCACCCATTAAGGTGGGTACCTCCGTCCATCAATCTGTTTCCTACCAATCCTATCGTAAATGACGAGTTGATTAATTCTATGATCTGAAAAAGGACCAGAGTCCATACATACTCTGCATTTGAAATTTGAATAAAAAACATTTTTGTGAAAGGGAAGGGTAACATGAGTTGAAAATAATTATTTTTCATGCTGTGTAACGGTGCACAGATCGAAGATTTAAAAAATAAGTTTCAAAAAACTATGGAAATTATCAAAAGAATTGCTTTGGCTACACCAAACGGAACGTAACGTAACACCGTATAAATACGTGTACTAAAAATAATTGAATGCACTAAAGCATCTTTCGTTCTTATATCGCATTAAACATATCTCGTCAATTAATAAAAATTATGATCGTTTGGTACGCGCTGTTAAATAACTATAAATATCTGACAAGTTAAACGTAACCCGATGAAGTATATAACATATTTGCAAAATCGAAGGATCGATTGACTCTTCAAGGATACACGCTTTATGAGTACAACGAAGAATATTACACATTACGAGAAAAGCTTTCTAAATATCTTTGGGCTCCGATTAGTAACGAAAAATAATAACAGAATGCCTGTATCTTAACTACGCTAACAGGTATTTAATGTAAACATAGTATACGCGGGATGGGCCGACGAAATTATTATTTCTGAGTTTGTATGATAGACACGTATGCGTTTTTTTTTTATATTCGGACGCTCGCAATTAATACAGCAAAAGCATCTTTACTGTACAACAAGAAGGATTTTGAATAAATTGTATTTCCTTAAAATAAATGTACCTATCGTGTATTTTATTCGTTTTCTGATTCTAATTACAAATTTCAACATTTCTATAGGTGGGAAGCGCTAATGGTAGTTTGAAGACGAAGTACATATCATCTAAACTAAAGGGCTCGACGCATCAAGAGCGAGAAAGAACGTACAAGCGTAAAGCATCCACCATCGAAGCTGGAAACCTAATTCACTGCGACGATGACGAAGATTACATCGATAACGACGAAGACAACGACAGCGACGAGTTGATTTTTGTAAAAAAAAAGAAATCTCATCATAGTGAAACTCGGAATACGACGTGCGAGTACCCATCTCCTGTCCAAGAACCATCTGATGTTCTAAACAGCAGCCGTAGTCAGGAGTGGAACGAAAGCCAACGAAAACTTGAAAAATTAAACCCAAGAAAATTTCATTCAAAGAATCAAACGAATCAGTCAGATGAAACAGCGTCCACTTCGCAGTATCCAAGGAGAATCGTTCCACCTAATCCTACGTTAAAAAGGCGCGGTCCTCAGAGGAGGAAAGACGAGACCCACGCAGTCATCATGAAAGAAAATATAATACTGGACACTGACGAGGAAGATACTGTTACAATTCCAAAGTCAGATAACAGAAGTTACACGTTGAGTGATCAGGAACCAGTAGTTGAGCTCGAGAAAAATCATCAAGAGTCGCAATCGACAGAGCAAACACAAGCAAAGAGTGTCTCGAGTTCCGTTAATAGGATGACTAATAGGTTGCAGGAACAATGCATGCGTCTGAGACATCTGCGAGATGAAGAAGAGACGAAGAAGCGCGAGGATATAGAGAGCCTACGAAGGCAAGAAGAAGAGGCCAGGAGACACAGGGTTGAAGTTTATAAGAAGTACGTAGAGGAGAAAGAGGAAAAAAGTAGGCGCGAGGAAGACAAGAGAAAGGAGGAAAATGAGAAGACTGAAAGGTGGCGAAGAAGAATGAAGCAGACGGAAAAAGAGTCAAGAGAGCGTGACAGGAAGATTAATGATGAGGAATTGAAGAAACGCGTGATCGAAGAAGAAATGCTACTTAGGGTATTAAAAACCATACTGATATCGCGGTTATCCATTAGTTCTCACGATTATCAGGATTATATTATCTTGCTTCCCTCCTTTTCTTGCCCGCAGGCCAGCGATGGGATTGAAGAACTACACGATTCCGAGGACACCGAAACAGACAATCGAATTAGTTGCCCCATTTGTAACAAAACATTTCCTACGGAGGAGATTGAGAATCATGCCGCTGCCTGCGAGCAATACAACATCGCCGAGGTTCAAGAAATCAACAAAGTGACTTCTTACCGAAAAAAGATGCCCGATGCTCAATTATCTAAGAGTAGATGCAGGACATCTTTGGAATGTCAAATTTGTTTGTCATTCAGTACTAACGATGGGAACGAGTATGAGAATCATGTTCACGGTTGCCTAGAAAATCAGAAGAAACGACTAGAAGATGATAGAACACGTGGTACGCTATGATAGTAAATTCCACTGCTGTTAATATCATAAAAATTAATATAATTTTAGCATCCTCAAGCAGTATGGTCCTTAATGTACCCACTTCGCCCATACGTTGCTTTGTTCCGATCAGCCAGCAGAGAGACTGTGAAATAAATTACAGGGCGCAATTCTCATCGACGAACAGGCAGAGTACCTACAGTGGAAGGAAGAGGAAGAGGAAGCGCTGACGAATACCACTTTGATTGTCCAATAACTACATATTTTTGCGACGCACACATCTTTCTCCGAGTATAAACATTGACAAAAGTTCAGTTACTTGGGGCATAACAAACAATAATTTCGTATGCACGTTTTCACAGTGTTTCTGACTGAAGAATGACAATCCCAAGGCTACAGACTGTTCAGGAAGGTCAGTAGCATTCCCAAGAAAAACTCGACAAATCAGAATCTCGTCGTGCCGTTCGATGCCGTCGCACTGATATTTACCATCAGCTGAGTCCTTACGTTAGAAGAAAACGACACAATACAGCCGATGTAAGATGTCAACCAAGAACAGCAATTCGAACGTTGGCAGAACGCAAAGTTCCCGAGACTGACGTTCAAAATTACTTGTTCCTAATACTTGATGCGATTATTAATAGTGTATATATCAACAAGTAAATGGACACCCATGTTTAAATCGCTATATGTAGATATAATTTACGTGAACGCGCCCGTTTACTGGCGAAATCATCCTATGTGCATTTTTACCAAGATCGTAATAATAATGCAGTTGTGCTGTTATCGTCGTTTACGTTTATAATCTTAAAGCATTTTCACTGGTATAGCTCAACACGTGAAGGATCTTTGATAGACATACTTCTCGAAGAGTTTTGCGATTTTTATAATATATTAGAAATTGTTAAGCTGCTAAGTCAGAGGAATGAACCTGAGAAAATTGTTTTACCATTGCAAGCACTAATTGCAAATATATTTATTAATGATTCAAACGAATCTAATACGTTTTTCTTTTGCTTTTAGATATCCTTAAAATTATTTTGTTGAAGAAATATACGTATGAACATCTTTCATTATGAAAATTAATTTTTAAAATTGCTGCTGATCACATGTAGTGTTGCATACATTGTTCAATTCTTTCGACGCAATTCATGTTCGCTAGCCACAATTGAAATGCGTTAAAACAATTCGAAGCTTCCTAAAAAACCAAGCGTGTGATTGAATTAATGAAAAGGAAAACAGAAAGCATAAAAGTCTTCTGTCGTTAAGAACAAATGAAGGCATTCGAGTTTCCGTCATTGCAGAGAGAGTGTTTATTTACAGGGCTTATCACAGTGAGGACGTTGCAGCAACAGTAATCAATTTCTTACGGAGTACCAACGTGAAGCTGCGTCTCGATACCCCTCATAGTTTGGTGTATTATTAAGTCACTGTAAAAGACAGAGAAACGTACTTCAAATCGCACAATAATTGTTTTGCTGTTTCAGTTGTAAGGTTAGCAAAAAAAACAAAAAAACAATTAAATCTCCTGCAGAGATGCGCTTTCGTTCTGGAAAATTTCAACGGAAGATCTAAAAAGCAAGATGAAAGATTTAACGGTATTGTTAACTTTTGTTTTATTCGCGTTTCAAAGCAAAGCCGTATTATTGAACGATGGATGGATCGGATATATTGGAAATCAAACTGAAAGTGAAATTAGGTCGAAGAAGCCAAGTAGGTCCCGTTGTCGTTTTTAGTGCACATGGTACCGAGACGTTAATATATCTTAATGATACTAATACGATTTATATGTCCTATCCTCTGAACCACAGTTACATCTTTTCCGTCGAAGGTGCCGGGTGGAATTTACACGGACCTGTATAATGCAAATTTAATAGCAGCCAATCTCGTTGGAGACAATGACATTAAGCATCGCTGGTTGAGTAACGAGACCTTCAGCTACATAAGACATTTTCAAGGTGAAAATAGTATCAATCACATCATAAAATAAGATAACATAACCGCACAGGCTTTAATCTATATAATACGTGGATCTAGCCTATTCTAGAACTAACAGGAACCTGTTTATCCACAGTGAATTCAACTTCATGGAAGCCGACTGGCAGAGCCATACTGATTTTCCATGGACTGGATACATTTACCACGATTTTTCTGAACGGCCAGCAAATAGGAAAGACGTCAAACATGTATTTAAAATATAGTTTTGACGTAAAACATCAACTACTGGTGAATCATTTTGGAGGTCGTTGAATAATCTCAATGGTATAGAATCGTTAGATGGATATGGATGATTTGCAGGATGGAACAAACGAATTAAAGATCATATTTGCCTCAGCAGTAAAAGCTGCTGAAGAACTTTATAATAAGCAAGCAATGAATTACATCGTTCCTCCGACGTGTGTCCCCAATACGTATCACGGAGAGTGTCACGTTAACCATATTCGGAAGATGCAAGCCAGTTTTGGATGGGATTGGGGTCCTGCATTTCCATCAATGGGAATTTGGTACTTGCTCAGCTGATCCATACATGGTTGGCTGATGAAATTGTGTGATCAAACTAACTTCGGCAAATGAAATATTTTAGGAAAGACGTAGAACTTATAACTGTTGAGAATGTACTTATGTCTGATGTCACCGTAGACATTGGTAAGTCTGATGCAGTCTGGGAGGTTGAGGTAACCATATTTTTTCAATTGTTATCGAGCGATCTGAATAAATGGATTAAATGCGATTTACGAGCAGAATTAAAAATCAGTGAGTTAGCGATCATCTCTAACTCTAAAGTCACGGTCTTAGATACGAACGCTACTAATTGTTCCATAGTACTCCGCGTTCCTAAAGTAAGTACAATAAATATATCTTAGCAAACACTTAGTGGACATTTTTAGGCCCACGCCGCACAATTTTCGTTAGTTGAATAATGATTGAAATATACTTTAGGAAGCAGTGCATCTATGGTGGCCAAATGGCTATGGAGAACAGAGGCTGTACAACTTGAAGGTACAATCCCTGATCGGACAAGAGAGCACAGAAAAAAATATACGAATTGGTTTTCGCACAGTTGAATTGGTGCAAGAACCTTTGGAGAAGGGTCTAAGCTTCTACTTTCGGTTGAACGAAGTGCCAATATTTGCAAAGGGCAGTAATTGGATTCCAGCTAGTATTTTTCCTGAAGAAACAGCAAACGAGGAAACAGTGAGGGACTTGTTGTTTTCTGCTCGGGAAGCGCATATGAACATGCTCCGCGTTTGGGGTGGTGGAGTATACGAATCTGACTTTTTCTACAATTTGGCCGACGAGTACGGAATTATGATCTGGCAGGATTTCATGTTTGCTTGTTCAATGTATCCCGCGGGCGAATCGTTCCTCGAATCCGTAAAGGCGGAAGTCGAACAGAATGTCAAGAGATTAAAAAATCATCCGAGCATTGTATTGTGGGCCGGAAATAATGAAAACGAGGCTGCGCTCTACGGTAACTGGTACGGAACTGGATCGACCTCAATCTACCAGGAAGATTATATAAGGCTTTATGTAAATGTTATTAAGGCGGAAGTAAACCGAATTGATCCAGCAAGACCTTTTGTCGTGTCTAGCCCAAGCGACGGGCTATTCACAGAGGAAAATAATTACGTTGGACCGAATCCTTACTCTAATCTGTACGGAGATGGTAATTCCTATTTCTAAATCACTTCTAGTTGTGAAAGATATGTACTTGCTGAACGTCTATACGCTATTTTATCACTTTTTAGTTCACTATTACAATTACTTGAAAAATGGATGGGACATAAATCATTATCCGCATACCCGATTTGCGTCCGAATATGGCTTTCAGTCTCTTCCGTCAGTCTTCACTTTGGCACCTGTCATCAAGAATGAAACCGATTTGCGAATTGACAGCGACTTTATGCTTCATCGACAACATCTTCCAGCAGGATATAACTACATGAAGAATCTCATATCCATGAACTTTCGAGTTTCGCTGAAGAATACTTATCAAGATTTTCTAATTTTTATCTACCTTAGCCAAGTGAATCAAGCAGTTTCAATGAGAATAGAAACTGAATCTTACCGTCAAACTAAATCCGGTTTTAATGCCAATGGTGAAGGACTGACAATGGGAGCTCTTTATTGGCAGTTAAACGATGTCTGGCAAGCGCCATCTTGGTCATCTATAGGTCAGCACACGCAATACAAGATTTTGCCTTGCCAAAATTTAAAAAAAGAAATGGTAAAATGCTGCACTCAACTTTTCAGAGTTCGGAGGACGCTGGAAAATGCTTCATTATTACGTCAAGGATTGTTTCGCCCCCGTTATCGTTACACCGCATTTGTCACTGGCTGATGAGTTAACCATCTATGTCGTTTCCGATAAATTAGTGCCAATCAGCGATTGCACATTGAGTATTAATGTTTACAAATGGGATATGAATCTTCCTTTATACACTAAGAAATACCCTAACATCGTTATCGTCAGTATCATTCTATCAACGATATATACGCTTTATCTTACATTTATCTTTCTAAGTTACTACAATGATTATTGATTGCAGATGAAAAACATGGCTCAAGCAGTGGTCACGCTTTGGTTTAGTAATTTTTTACGAGAAGCAGGTTGCGGAACCTTAGCCGCAGTTAAAAAAAACTGCATTGTAGAACTCTTACTGGAAGACCAATATCACATGCAGATAGCGCCGTACAACTACGTATATCCAAGTTCATTTATAAACATTACTGTACCAAACACTGAAGTTCAGGTATGAACAAGAGAGTGACTATGTTTCTTCCACCGGAGTCGAGTTGAGAGATGAAATATATATTTTGTATACCTATACATTATTATATTATACATGTGCATATTTAATGTATTTCAACTCTTGTTTGACTTTGGGGCAAACATAGCCAATAAGAGAAAAAAATGGATCAACGACTGTGAAATCTTATTTATTAGCTATAAAGTTCGAACCGTACCATTTCAGGTGTACGTCGATCCAACGCCTATTCCCGGAAAATTATCAAACTATCTGGATTACAGAGTCTCTCTGAGATCCGAGAAAATTGCTCTATTCGTGTGGATTGATGTAAAACAAATTTGCGGTCGATTCTCGGAGAATGGATTCCACGTGTTACGTGGTGAGAAAAACATCACTTTCCATGCCAAAGAAGCCGTTACAGACGACCAACTCTCCAACGACATTACGGTTGTCAGTCTGTCGCAGATTTACAAATTCAAAACAGGATTTATGTAGAATCGAATTATGGGAATAAAATACATTATCTTGTGCAAAATACATTTAAGCCGAATTACCTTTAGTCGATGAATATGTATGCACATCAGTCAATTATCGAGGCTTATCTGCTTAATGGCGGAAAATAGGTGTCGTAATGCATATAAACTTCGATGCAAACCAAAAGTAGAAATATGGCTATCGCTACGCTGGTCAATGTGAATGCCCAGTGTGGCATTTTTTAACTTCTTTGAATCCGTGAACCGTACCGAACGAAGCACACACACGTTTTTTCATTAGTCATCAATAATGGAGTATTTCTTGGTTTTTAAATGACAGTATACGTAGCACTGAATATTATTATAAATTTATTATAAATAATCTGTTCATTGACACAAGTGATGAGATTCATCGCACAGCGAAATTTTTTCAATAGTGAACAGTTCAAAGTACGGTTAAGAAATAAATGAAAAAGCATAAGAAAATATGGAGAGCGCATTAGCCTTCAGGTCTTCGCAATTATGTTTAAGTCTAGCAGTAACTCCACTTCTCTCGCGGACGTTAATCATTGGTATAACAATAACATTCGTATTATAGCATTATTGGAAAAACGTACTATTCGAATACATCAACAAAATCTTTAATAACATCATTTCACTCTTCGTGGTGTAATAGTATAACTGGAAAGCTTCTCAAGCTTGTTTATATTTCAAAGCATTTGTTTTCACACAAAAAAATGTATTCGTATACTGATTCTTTCCGGTTGATCATCTGACAAGACGCACATAGCAAAATTAATTTGTCAATAAGGAACAAGAATAGGAGGTAAATTAATAGTATGCTTTGATAGGCTATCCTAAGAAGCTAGCACTTTATTTCTTTTTAATTCACTCAGCTGGTTCTTCAGGCTTTTTATAGTATCCTCCGAAGGTGACTGCAAGTAACGTCGACTCAAATTGATGACCACCATGATGCAGCACAGAAGCAGTGGACCCAAAATTGCACCCTCGACACCCAGGCAAAAAATACCGCCGCCTATCGACAAGGCAGTCAGGTAGGGATGTCCTCCCCTTTAATGTCAAACATGTCCCAATTATTGAATGAATTGTTTCGCATCCAGGGACTCTACAATTGTTGATTAAATACCCCTTGATTCCCTTATAAAATTCTGTCACGACAATATTGCAGGGAAGAAAGTGAAACATGAAAAACAGCACAGCTATCATTGGTCCTCGTGTAAACCAGAGTTCCAGAGCGGCTGGGATGCAGGCGAAATAAGCATCCAAAAATGGTACAGCGCCGAGCATCATGGCAAATGCTGAGGGTAAGTAAACGATCTTCACTTGAAAGAGATTGTGCGTGAACCATGTCCACATCCCAAAGAAAGATGCGAGTTTGAACGTCGCCGCGAAAACGCCTATGACTGCTTCTTGAAGAGCCATGGCGAATCTGTGAACGAATGAAAAAGTGAGACACTAGACAATTAATAAATGCTAGTGTAGTATTTATGGAACAGCAAATTAAGCTATTTGTATAACCAGCCACCGCTAAGCCTTATAACTCACTGTTGAAATATATGAAAAATAATCTAAAACGTACCCGCCAACGCTGAGTGTACTTTTCCAAAAGAAAAAAAAATTGTTTTAAATTTTTACTTCTGCGGAACATTAGTTTGTGGATTCGAAGATGCAGAGTAAGAAACAATACCTGTAACAGCCTACGGGACTGAACATGGTGATTAATTCAATCGGTTTGTAAGTCTTTCCACTAGCGTTGAGCAGATAAAAGAGGGTAGTAAAAAATACAACCTGCAATTAATAAATGTTGAATTTAGCAGTGACGTGTGCTCTGAAATGTATTTAGCTTTATAAATTTGTCAGTAAAACATATACGAGTATATATATACCATGCTGAGCGAGAAATTGAGAACAGCAGAGCCACTCATAAGTACAACGTATAACAATTCAGTAATAATACTCAGAATCACCGAAATGTTTCCCTTGACTATGCTCCAAACTGAATCCAACAAAGACATTAAAATACCAACATTCTCCTTGGCAAAGTTTTGGATACTCGTCATATTAAACAACTCTATAAAATGAAGGGTGAGACTGAGATCTTGAGATCACTAGAAATTCCGTAGATCCAAGAAACTAATACAACTTAATGGACTTACGGACGGGAGTCTTATCAAAGTTCTCCTTAAAGCTCTCCCATACGGAATAGGCTGCATCTGCATCCACCGTGGGCCCAACCATGTCCGGAGAGTCGTTGGACATCATCCAAGCCTGATAAAGTCTATCCCATAGTTCCAAAACCTTTTTCTCCATCTGCTCAGCCTTGGTAGGTTCTAAGTCTTTGACAAGTCCTCTTATCTATATCATGTACAGCAAGGTCTTTTGTATTGTTGGAGAAGAGAAGCATGGAAATCGCATATGCAAGACTGACTAACACCATCTGATATTGCGGAACGTCCATATGTATAAGCGTTATCCAATACGCTGTTGACAGAATCCTCCCATTGTTCTGGTACCCAATCTATGTCTGGGTTGTTCACTAGAGAAGCATTCAGTACATCACCGGTAACTTGAACAAGATGCATACCTTCGGCATAGACCTGCACAGATTAGTGAAACCAATTTGTCTTACATCATCCCATGTAATCGTATCAATCTGAGAGTATACGTAGATATATGTTAAGTAATGAAAGCTACCTGAATCGTGATGAAGATAGAAGCGCAGGTGACGAACACTAACAATCCGAGAATCACTGTAATCGTGGCTACGGCGTCTACAGATCCTTTCAGGCCTATTGTGATTTTCCGATCGACAATCATGCATACTTTATATAATCCTCTAACGTTTACAGGAATGAGTGCCTGGTGCCTTTCCTTACACCAGAGCCTAATAACATCCACAAGTGATTGACATTGTGTCCGAATTGTTTTCCAAAAGCCAAAGTAACATCCAATTTGCTTGACTATATAATAAATTATTGGTATGGACAACATGTGTATTATCCATCTGTGTTTCCAAAGTAACATTCCGACACAGGCATACGTTGCTCCGTACATGTACTTGTCGGTATCCACTTTGTCGTCCTCTATGTCCAAAGACATTCGAAATTCAGTCCTCAGTTTTCTAATAAAATAACGCTCACGTGCTTTTACTATTGGTCGCATATTTTCTAATAATTGCGATTCTCTACTATCAGATCCCATGGAAGACTTTCTTACATCTGCATTTGATGAAATTGATTCTTTATTGAACTTCAGTGTAGTATTATTTTCAGATTTCTCCTTCGATGTAGTTGGATGTTGTCCACTTAGCAAAAGATTCTTAGGCGAACCAATTGATTTCTCTTCAACAAAAGCATCATCCTCTTGCGTGACTGATGCGTCGACTTCGTTAGTCGTTACGATGTTGTTTGTTAATGCATAACGGGCAGCTTCCATAAATGATGTTTGATGTCCATCCAGTTCTTGATGCTCCAAGATGAGTATGACTTCATAGACAAATCCTATCAGGTACAATAATTGTAACGTGAGGAAGACTACAACTTGGTATGCTCCTAGGATGTTCGATATATAAAGGCTGACAATGAACCACACTACAAAAGAGCTGTAGCGAAATCTTGCAGAGTTTTCCAGAGTCCAGTAAATGTACAGTAGAGAGAGATATCCAGCAACTACAGCGACGAGCTGCAAAGACATTATATGTGGCTAATCACATTACAAAAGTATAACTATAGATAATATTTCTACGACGATATTGCATAGTACAAGACATACTAATTCTATCATTTTCTATGATTTCTATGTAATTTATAAAGTTAATACCGTGAAGACGTTGCAGGTTGATATGAAGAAGTTTAAGACTGCATTAACAACTTTAAAAATCCTCCATGCTAGACACGTTAAGATGTTAGGAGTATAGTTGTATGCAATTAGCACCGTTCCAGCAACAACTAGAATGACTGCAATGTACTTAAGATGTTTTACCAAGAAAGAGCCAATAACATCAGAGAGTTCATCAACAATTCGAATAGGAATCATTGTCAAATTAACTATGAGAGGCTTGTTGGACATTTCTGCAGCAGTGAACCATGACTGTACAATACTTGTAATAGAGAGCTTGAATGGAAAAAGAACTGAACCGCATAGCAGAGCCCAGATAAGCGGTTTTACAAATGGACTGAGAATTATGTAAAGACCATAACCAGCACTTAATCCTAAGCACAAAAGAAAAATTGCTACTGCATTGTAAAATCCTTGTTTGAAAGCTTTTTCATGGTCCGGACTAAATCCTGATAGCATGTTGAGTAGGTTATCCATAGGTGTCCGTGGAATATCCATTATTAGAAACGTCCAAAAGCAGAAATGCTACTTCTTTCTCAGTATGCTTCTTGAATCACTATAACGGCCATGCTCATCCGCAGAGAAACCAATTATATTTCCCTATTGCGATCGGCACACAAAGTTGGCACATTCAGGATACGCTCAAATTAAACTCGAACGGATACTGAATCAGACTGAATGGTAGGGGGAACGGAACACGGCGAAACGTTACGGACAGCACCGAGGAACTTTGATTCGTGTAAAGTTAGCAAATCAACTTCCAGCAAATCACAAATAAATGGAAATTTAGTTCTTTTCGTATGCAGCTGAATTCTATAAGTAGTTCCTGATACATTGTAGCAATAGTCCTCGCGATTTTACCAACAAAAAAAAACCAAGATTGAGAATATGATCTACTAACTTACCATAGCAGATCATTTTTTTAAAGATCATCGAATTTTAGAGATTTCGACGAGATTTAGAGTTCTACATAGCAGACATTAATAGTTCTGCTTTTAGAGTTGCACAAAGAAATATTTTCATCAACTTCTCTCTTCTCGAAAGACGAAAATTAAAAAATCCCATGAATTTAACGAGGACGAAATGACATTTGACGTTATCGAATACAGGAAAAAGTATTTGGCATTATTTTGTATCTATATTTTTGTGTGACAAAGTCCCGTCACGCGTCGGACAACTCCTATATTAATCTAAAGAAAATTTCAAAGTTATGCAACCCTTATCGAATGGGAGATCACGTGCAATGAGTATAACAAATGAAGAGTATGTCGATGCGCTTGAAAATAATCGTAAGTAGTGCACCAATTTTAAAATCTTGTCACTTTTAATTTTAATTTAAAAATCTATAATACATAATTCGTAATAAAGTAGCGAAAAAGAAGATGAGAGAAAGACGCTTACAGCGACTACAACAGATTTTCTCAAGTCTTTAATAAAATTACGGCCCTCTTTCAGTAGACCCTTTTGCACCTGTTAAAGTCTATGCATGTTTGTTCCTCGAGTCTTTTTATTATAAAATCAAGTGTGTTGATTATAGGTCTCACTTCAGAATAGTAATTATTCGTTATATCACAGTATTAATAAATTATTTTTTTATTTATCTTCCTCTTGGTCATCAAATAAACGTCGGTTATATTATATTGGATGTTCAATTCAATTTCTTGAAAATGATGTTTAATTCTATAGCGCGCTACTACCGTTCTGCTTATTCAGTTTTAACCTTATTTACATATAAATTCGGAAGCTTTTTAATCCGTATTAATTGTTACGGAATTACTTTTTTTTTCATGGCAAGTGCGTCAAAAGTCTCCTAGACTATATCAAAGAAAATCAAAATAATATTCTGATAATATAATCATTCTCAAACACGTAGCAAGATAAAAGCAGTACAGGAATGAAAGCTATCAGCATATGAATGATAATTTATTTTATAGACCATTTATTAAGTACACCAAAGAAGAAAGAAGTTTCGCACAAACTTGCATAGACTTTGCGTTATTGCTACGAAAATACAGCTAAACAGTAATGTCGAGCAGTTTGCCATAATATAAAAGAGAGTGACAGTGCGGTGAAATTAAAAGAGAACAAATCAAAAGAAAGTAGGCGGATAAACACTTTGGCCTTATGTACCTATTACAAAAGAAATACCTATAATAGTAATTTAAGAAAAGAAACCTTAAGTGCAAGGCATCTCGTCTAGTTAAATTGTATCGTTCAGACCATTAACTAACTAATCTTACCACCTAAGTCTGTATGTACAATTGTACAACGTATCTTTAAGCTTAATACAGAGTAAATCACATTTTCATCATTAACGAGATTAATCATTTACATGAAATTTCATCAAATTTTCTTTTTGTCACTGATGCTCACATGCGAGCTTGTAAGCATCCGTTAGTTGATGGTCTGCAGGATCTTCGGTTCGTGCAATTGGTACTTATCGCGAGCACGGTTTAAAAGCCGGAGATCAATAAAAATCATCTAATATAAGTGCAACGACAGTATGCGTTGCTCAGTTGGAAAGATAATCACGCAGGAGAGGCCTTCAGGCACAGCTTATATCTTTTTTCGATGCACCTGTTGTCACCGTCAAGGACACGACGAAGTGGTCGTTACAAATGTCTTTTTCATGTTTCCCTTTTTTTTTCGTATCTTTGTTTCTCGAATATTCTGAAAAAATGATCAATACCAAAGCCTTCATACGAATGATGTGCAATTAAACTTTCTTCGCTGCGTGGATCAGCTCCCAAGGATTGACAAGTGAATAGTGCTGCCGCTTATCTATATGAATATGAAATTTGCAGACCTAGCAAAGAACTAACCGTGTACATACTTACAATAATATTATGCACATTTATAATATTCTTATATACAAGACAGTCTTGGAAAAAAAGGTAGGAGGGAGTAAAACTAGAGATTACAAATAGTTAAGAGTCAAAGGAAAGTGTTAAGGGAGTCTGCAAAGTATTTAAATCTCAGGTATATACTCTCGCTTGATAGACCAAAGAGACTGGGAGTATGGTCGACGGAACGTGCTTCTTAAAAAAAGACTTCCGTGGCTATGCCGTAATTTTTTTATCTCCTGGGACGGCCATTCTTCTTTACGGCGAAGATCTTGTCATTGTTGCTGCTATTTTTCCTCACGTTCATATCCTTACGCAGTGAAACTACTTTTTTATAAAGGATAAACAAACCTGTACTAGACGCGCGCTCTTTTCTTAATCAAACTTTTAAATGACACCGCCGATGTACTATTGCGCAATTGTTCCTGACGCACGCAAAATAGCCCGAGAGCGCAAGATCTATATTTCTGGGGAAAGAATATCAAAATTCGCATTTATGTAGGGAGGCCAATGATCTCGTGGGCAGTAGCATGTCCATTTGTAAGTTCACTAGATGCCGTTGGTGTTCCTGGACTTCCGTTAGGACAGCTGCAAGAACTGTCATTGGTACTGCTACTAGCACTGTCGCTCTCACTGTCAACACTTGATTCAGGACTGGTCTTCCTTTGAGGTTTCTCTCGCCTTGCTTGGTAGACTATTGAAACTGGGGATAATTCAGGAGTCCTCAAGGAACAGCTGCACGCACTCCGATTCCCGTTGCTGATACTATCGCTGTCGCTCTCACTGTCTACGCTGGACATGATGCTCGTCCGTCTTTGAGCCCTCAGAGTTTCATTTTCTCGTCGGAGTTGATCATTCTGCTGAATCAAGTCATCCATTCGCTGCTGACATATCTTCAACTTTTTCGCTATTTCCGAATCAGTCGTACTACCGTTTTTATTTTCCGAATCCCGCTCCTCCATCTGATGAAAATTCTTACCACGTAACCGTTTGGTTAGCAAGTCGACTTTTGCCTCAAGCTGCACATATTCTTGTATTAATTCCGATTTCGTCAAAGTGCCGAGTCTCTCGGCATGAAGATCTTCGTAAGCACTTGAGAATTCCTTAGTTAGAAATTCCTCTTCGTCTTCCGGCGACGAGTAGAAGTAGTCTTCATCAGAGTCTACGCTAAAGCTTGAGTCTCGCGTGCGTGGTGGCGGGGGTGGTTTTTGGAAAGAGGCCGGCATTTCCGACGTCGTTGCACCGGCCAACTTTTGTTCCAAGTCTGGAAGGTCGCTGTGATCTTCCATAAGGAATTGCGTAGTATTGTACGGTGCAGGGGGTTGCCTGCCAGTTTTTGTCAGCCTACCGGAGGCTCGGCAGCGCAGCCTCTGCTGATAGGACAACTGCTGCTTCGAGTATGGCTTAAGTTTCCTATGTTTAGGTTTACCTCTGCGGGTCTTCCGTTTCTTCGCCGCAATGTCGCCACTATCATCTAATTGACCGCCCTCTTGATCACCACTACCGCTTCCACTCTCAATTTTTCCGGCTGTCCTGATAAAACGTTTCGGACACTAAAAACAGAGAAAACATGCGATTTAAATATGTTAAATCATTTTTATAATGATAAGTGGTACACTCTTACAATCAAACTATATGCTGATACTTGGTGTACGAGTTACTTAATAATTTTTCCAACATGATTTTTATCTGCGGCTTTCATGCAAATTTTCGATGTAATCGTAAATAATAACGTGAAAGAAGAAACATATATTAAGGGGCTACAACGATCTTGAAAACAAGACCCGCACTGCTGTCTATCGAAATGTTTCCACCGGAGTCAGGTTGAAAGATGAAATATGTATCTTGTATACTTTATATATTAATAAACTACAGGTATTCAATGGATTTCAACTTTCATTCCGTTCGAGTGGAAACGTAGCCAATGATCCGTCATTTTCAAACGAATTGTTGGATGAACAGCAATCCTCGGTTGCTATTGAGAGAACAATAACAAGCACCGAAGAAATACTAATAAAGTGGATCAGCTTTATGGGACTTTATGTCTAACGGCTAGTGGTTACAGTCGACACGGGAGATATGCTGAAATCAACATAGAAGTTCTAAAGATGGTTACAATGCCATACATTTCGCTTTAAACAGAAAATACATAGGAGCTGACCCTCTTTACCAATATCTCCTCGGTGTAGCAGGAAACTAAAAATTCTTGTGTGTTTGAAGATATATCGACCGAGGCGGTCCTAAGGTAAGTCGGTAGGTTCGTCTTCATCTATTGCGCAAATAAAACAAGCATGTCTCCGGACTAGGTCTTGAATTGTTCAGATTATCTGCAGTAGAAAAGCCAGTGCACGCGTGCAAAAAGTGATATTCGAAACTCATGACGTTGCAAACTGGAAGTCGATCTCTCTAAATATGAGGAGAGATACTTACATCCTTGTTTTCGATGTCAATCCGGCTACAGGAATCCGTAATCTTGGCGGTAGCTCGTGAGATAGATGTCGCTGTTGCCAGTGGGAGATCCAGAATTGGCGCCTCTGTCGCGGACTCTGCCGCAGGCATCGGGTCCGTCTCAACGCCCTTCACGTCACGTATGCTGTCTCCGCCGTTCGATGGTTTTACCACTGTCACATCGACCTTACACTCATCCATATTCGTTATATTCAATAAAATCTGTCTAATTGAGGTTGCACATACACTCCCATAACCGTTAAAGTCTCGAGCTCATACACTAGAACCGTTTAAACTGCTGCCACAAGCCGTATGCCTTCACAGTATACAGCGACTGAATCGCCATGTTTGATTTGTCCGTGATTCCGTACGATAGCGAAGTACAGCGTGCTACGCGGTGGTGGGGGAAACAGAGCCCTCTCGTGGGGGTAAAGTACTTTTTGATTTCTCCCTTCGAACACTAGCGCCCTCTTCCTTCCGTGGCCAACTGCCTACTGTTGCTTACCGCAAGAACTGCGTCGATGGTCCTACATTTCCAACGCTCCGACCTCTCCGTGCTGCCTGCCTGCCTACCCGAACGTATCCCGACTCAACCCGACTCCGCAGACTCGGCACACTTGTACCCTAGTATTTTGCGTGTCACCATTGCTCTCGATTATGCACCTAATCCTTCGCTCGATTAACCTTACCACCATGCTTTGCTATCACTGTGAATATCATTCTAAACAATATTCGGAATTCTGAGACTACAATATTGATACAGATAGAAAATGTTATCGTGGTCTTCTTACCAACAAACAGGTAACTAATGCGATTGTGCGCAGGGCAGTTTATTATGCAAACACATAGAGATACAGAAAATTACATAAAATAACAATGAATGCAGAGGGAAAATTGCATTTCGATGTATGCTGGGTAGTGACTTTTATTCGTGGATGCAACCATGTCATTGCCGTACATTTCACTTTACATATTTCTGAATATTTTCGGTGTTAAGTAATATCGAGTCATAGGAAACATTTTGAAGCAAACGTCGATTCATGGTGTTACGCTTGTGAATTACTCCAATGGGATGTCCAAGCATTGTATACGTACCAGTGCAAGCATAAGGCTTTCTTTCTCTCTCTCTCTCTCTCTCTCTCTCTCTCTCACACACACACACACACACACACTAAAGCGCTCATTGCTAGATACTAATGTCATGCGAGTTACGACGGGAAGACACATGCAACGGCTGCCATTACTTGCCACGTATCACACTAGCAACATGAAGTGTATTGCCGTAGGCCGCTGTAAAAATTCGGTAATGGATTCGTAAAAAACTAATCATCTGAATTTTGTTGTTTCTGCCGAGAAAAACTGTGAATGTAAGAATAGATGTGGAATATAGACCGTCGATTGAACTTGAACGGACAGATGGAAGGGATTCGTTAGGTTAGCAGGCATGCACGATTACTATACTAAGTGCCTATCGTGCCTATAGCATATAGTGACAGATTGCGGCTGTACTGTATAGGTCGTGCAGTACCCGCCGACCAACCAGGTTCCTTGCCAAGTCGTACACATTGTGACGCCATGTTACGGTCTGTCTGTGCACGCCATCAGATTACACACGTATGTGTACACAACTCGCCGAATTGCGAGTATTTCTTGCACATGTAATTCGCTCTGGAAATACCATAATCTACATTTTTCTCTGTTTCCCTCCCACTCGCGCGCTCTCAACTGAGACACTTCCCTGGCATTCTTTGCCGTTTAAACAAATCAACAACTTGCCTCACGTTCCTATCGCATTCGTTTTCCATAAGTACAACACATGCTTTGTATATAAATTACGTGTCTCACTCTGTTTATATATATAATATTATAAATAGTCGCTAAACTCTTAGGAGGATATCCATATCTTTCAATGGTGACCTTATCACGTGATCCCAGCACAGCGTGCAAAACATGTCATGCCATCCTGAAAATTACGGTAATGGGCTTGGTTGCCCAATGTAGACTCTGAAGACTCTCGATTCTCCGTACCTCGACGGTCGAAGGTCACGGAGACATCGCTAACTGCGAGGCGCAATAGAGTCTGCCTGCCACAAGAAAGGAATTCCAGATCGACATGCGGCTGCTGCTGCACATCGTCGATTCCATATTCACGTAATCTATTATTTAATGGCCGCGCATAACAACTTCATTCCTTTCTCTTTCGCGGGCGAAAGCAGTGGAGAAACGATCTCAAGCGAATTAACGAATCTCTGAATCCCCGTGGAAGTTCACGTTCAGGAACTTTCACGCCTCCTCGACTCTTCGCTAAAAGTAACAGTTTCCAGTTCGCTTGCACCGAAGACGTTTCGGTTTCTCGACTGATCGTAGTTGTCCGTTTATACCTTGATCACATCACGAATGTCATTGGGACGCGCGACGCGATGGCTTATCCTCCCTGCGTAATCACGATTCGCAAATTCACCGATGTATCGTCATCCAATAGCAGACGGAAAAGTCAAGAGTTTCTATTGTTGTGCATAGCCATAATGGCGAGCACGTGCTCGTGGGCGCAAGATGTAAATACAAACACAGGTGTGCACACGGCCACGTTCTATACTTATATGTATATTATTCTATATAATATGTGTGTCCTATGTGTGTCGGTCCTATAAGGTCAATTTGCGGAAATGTCTTCAAAGTGTAGATTATTGAAAAACCTTAGAATAAATAGTTTACTACATCAAGTAATGCAAGCATGGAAAGTCGAAAGTGATCGTGAACTAGAACATTAAGAAAAATCCTTTTCAATCCTGGAAACCATTGACTTCGATGAGGTCTAATGAGAAGGAGTTTATATTTATATGAATAGTGAGGATTCACTATAAATACAATGCGTAGCCTCCTGCTACGTGGGAGACACACTGAGTATTCACGTCGGCTACCGGGCCCACCGGGAGATTTAACTCACGGACGGAATCACACAAGAACGGCTCACCATATCATTGATGTGACTCGATAACGTGTTCATTAAAAAGTACCCTTCGTTCATTTTTTTACCGTACCTACGACATTTTTCATTTGAAAAGTTCACTTTTCGCTGGGACACCAGCCTGCACAATGTTCCTCATTCTACAAGAGATGACCCAGATTCGCTTCAGACGTACGTTTCGCGTCCTTGAATTACCATAGAGTCACCAAACTTCTTCCGTGGAGCTTAAGTTTATTAGACTCCACTCGTATTGCTCCTATCGAACGTGTTGCGCTGCTTTTGGCATATGTAGACATACGAATGTGTATATAGACACTTGGAGGACGAATGAAAACCCGCAATCGCTTGTTAGGTTGATTGGGCCTTGGACTGATTTGAGAATTCAACCCGCAAATTTGGGAACTTCAAGAATCTTGAGAAGGTGAAACTATTAGATGCTCAGGGCAACAGGGTCGGCCGGTCGGTGTTTGTCTGTTATCGCAATCATGCGTATTTGGACGTGAAAGGGCTCGCGAGTCACTAGATGGTCTACGTGCCCAATCGTCGTAAACAACACGCTCGTTCTCGTTTACAATAAACGAGCGAGTCAAGAACCTCAGTGGAGCGTGGCAATTTCGTAGTCGCTGATGGCGCGCGCTCGTCCGTTGCTATTACTGTGACATGGAAAGTTATTACGGCCACTCCTATGTGCCACCTGCACCAATGTCTATGTTCGTCTGACTTATTGTTAGTGGCGCGAGAATTCGTACGCACGCATATATATTTTCCAGGATAACTAACTCAATGATAGCCAGTACATTTAATTCATATAAGATTTCTTCATTTCTAAAAATTAGACTGCTCTGCAGCGCATGTTACTGAGAATAAGACAGATCATGCTTCAATAATAATCTCGAGAATTAATGTCGTCACATGTTTCAGTAAGTCCAGGAAACGTGTCGCCTGCGACATCGATCAAGGACTCAGATTCGGTAAGGAGTCGAGAGCTCATTTGTCCGGTTGGTCAGCAGCTTGGGAGACTCGCACAGCTTTTCGCCATCCCCTGTAATCGACATGGAGACTGTGCAATTTTGGGCCCCGATGAACGTTGTTGTGGATCCCTATGTCGGAAGGGCATACCAGCCCCACCAAAGGAGCCACCACACGAGGGTTAGTATTATTTCAGTGGATGGAGGGACAGGGGGGACGGGGGCGTGAGATGCGTCGAACGGGAAAGCTACGAGGAGGGAACCGGGGGATGTCCTGCGTTGCCTTGCGGATCTCAGTGTCAAAGAGAAGGGGCAGGTGGGGCAGATGGGGCAAGTCTCAAGAATGGATTCGTTGACGTGAGTATCTTTAATGCACGGGGATCAACTGTTAGAACTAAGCGTGCAGCGTGCATCGGCCGGCCCTGTTGACCAACAGCCATTTTACACTCGTTGTTGAACCAGCTATTTGAAGGTCGGGCGAGGAGTCATGGGAAAGAGTACGTGCCGAACTACAGCGACGATGTCTTTACTTCTTACTTTGTTATATTATTACGAGCCACTGGTTTCATGAGGCTCTCTGAGTTTGCTAGAATCTGCGTCGCATAGTCGCGTAGCAATCATCACGTAAAGGGAAATTCTAAAATTGCTTTGACCCATCCCGTACGGGTAGGGGAATATTTTCGGGTGTAAGCACACGAAAATTTCACCGTACTCTAATTGCAAAAGCCACTTCGGTACATCGTCGTCTATGTCATAGATACGTGTAGATACAATCCGAGAAGGAATCCCGGACGAAAAAAACTGAAAGTCATTCGTTGGGCCAGATTGCAAGCAGGATATTTTCCTGCCCTTTATTATTTCTCTCGTAGGTATTGTCTTTTCGTACCTTCTGTCCCTTTCTGTGGCTCCGGCACGCCTGTCGAACAACGCAGTGCGCGGCAAAGTTCCAAAATCAGTATCAAGTGAGAGTATAAGCTAACCTTATAAGAGCTCGGCACCGAATTCCCTTTACTACCATGAATCGTAGGCACGGTGAGAGAGAATACATAAAATAGAGGAAAAATTTTGAGGGAAAGGAAAGAGATAATTCTTTTGGCAATAAGTATTTCTCTCCTGCGCTAGATAAATTTCCGAGGATGTCTCGCACCACATGGTTTCCCACTTTCGACGAGAACTCCCGCAAGTTCCAGGAATAACGCGTGCACTCAGTGATACGGAGCAGTCGTAGCATGTACTACGCGCACCTAACCTCAACGCAACGAAACTCACTTCTTGTCCCCGATATTCCGATACTCAAGCAGGACAGCAAGACAAGGCGTATTCCAGCGAGCGTTCGTTCACGGTGGAAATAGATGCGCCGTCCGTTGAGTTCGAGCCCAATAGGAACCTTCCCGGGCAGCAGCGATTCCTATAGTTCGTGTAACGTTAACTAGATGACACTGTATTGACTGATTGTGAGCCACAGGCACCTATTTACATAAAACGCTACAATAAGGAATATTCGTGTTGAATGCGTGACTGCATTTAGTTTTTCGGCTCCTCGATGAGTCAGGATGTGTCGTCATAGGACTGACTTGCGTGTTACCCGCCATGCACTACACTCTCTTATCAGTCTATTAGCTATACCGTTGAAATACCTTTCTTCCCTTCCCTCCGGATCGAGTATATTTCGCCGTTTCATAAATTATTTGCGCATCGCAAAGGAAGAGCGCACGAGTTTCGGGTAATTATATATAAATATATTTATTTTCTATTTTAGCATATTTTCTCGTTTGGAAAAGATTGAACAAAATTGGTGTATTATGAAACGACACCTGTGATTTACTAAGGATTGTATTCTTTGGGAACTGACAAAAAAACACTAAACTATTGGATCAATGGTACAATTAAATATCGTCAACTCACAGCCACGGGATAATCATTACTGACTATGCCTATGCACGCTTTAGTGCTGTGAAATGGCTACGAATTTTATTTTATTAGACGGAGAATAACGTAATAAGGAATTATAATGTGGGTTCCTAATTCGGTGTCAGTGAAAGACTTGAAGTAAGAGACGCGGTTTCACCGAGTCTTTTCTTATATAAACTGCTGAAATATCAGTGGAGCGGCACACACTTTTTCTTGTATCTTCTTACAAAGCCATTTTTTGAATATGACGTCCCGTCGACTATAAAACACCGTTTAATACTTTTTTAGTGTTCGTTATTTATCCTGAATGCCGTATGACTGCTTTAACAAACACTGGTGACACCGCACGCGTGCTCGCGCCTAACGGGCGTAGTACTAACTTTTGGTATTTGCTGTCCAGACTCTAGGTCAATTCCATGCACGCTATTATCTATTGCATCTTTAAATGAGCCTTATTCTCGACCAGAACAATTCACAGCATCTCTATACGCATTTTTTCGCGGCGAACGCAACTCGTAATAACGTCGCTACGCGTTGCTTAGGATCGCACACTGGAAGGGAGTCATTCGTCGTACAAACTTTGAGACCCTAAGATGAGACTTGACGTTCCAAAGTCCCCAACTGATATTTTCCCAACAGCAAGATTAGATCATTTCTTTTTAGGTCTTGATTTCTGCAGCAGTTACATTAGCGCAGCCAGAAGAATATACACTTTTATCATTCTAATGGCAAGAGCAAGAAGAGGGTTCTCGATAATTAACGAACAAACAGGCAGAGAAAAAAGTAATACTGAACCGCGACTCTCGGCAACTGTGCCGACATGCAGTACGAATCGGGTTTCGAAGCTTTCAAATAATAGCAAAACTGCCATTCGGCCGATTGATCACAATTCCTAATTCCATAGTTAAGTACACGAGCCGTTTGATCCTCAGAGAAAATTGTTCCTTCAGAAACCGTGAATCACGAATGGCGGCACAACAAACATGAGGATTATCTCCTCACAACCATTTTCTGTTAGACGTCAAACTTTGTCAACGATTTGTGATAGATATACTTATATCATAGTGAGCATCTCAGGTACCGCTGTAACATGGCTCAAATGAAACTTCAATTCAGGTTCCGCAGCAGAGCCAAGTTAGTTTAATACTTCAGTTATCGGAGTTATATAAAGTCGAGCAATGGTTCACCTATCGCCTTTCAAACTCACTTCAAGGTAATTTGAACTGGTTCGACCATATGAAATGCGTCGATGGTTTCGTAAGAGTAATTCATCGTGCGCGCATGGATACTAGTAGCTCTCTTATACAGGCAATAGTCTGAGGAGCATATTAGAATCTAAGCTGCTTTTATATCCCGTAGTAAAGAATCATTCGCCTTTTAGCCGTACTAGGGATAGATCGCATGTGTCCCAAGGAGCCGGTGCCGGAAACGCTTCCCATACAGCGATGCAAGACGGACAGAGATTGTGGAAACAGCAGAAGGATTTGCTGTCCTGATCAGAAGGATCTACAGCTTTACTGCAGGACCGCTGCACCAGTTTGGGCACAACTTCCTTTTCAGCAAACTCATGCCAGTAATCTTCTATTCTTAGTTATATTATATTATCAGGACTTTCTTTGCGCCGATTCTTTTTTTGATATTTAACGCTTTAAGCATGGCGTTTGATGTAAGAAACATCATGTTGAAGTCAAACAAAATCTATTGTTCATTGATCAATTTCAATGAAATTTTATGTGGAGAAATTTAAAAGACTTCTGAATTCGAATCTGAAATTAATATTTGTAAATTCAAAGAGGCAGAACCCTTACGATATCTCAAACCTTATTTTCACATGTACATTCACGTGGTCCTCATTCAAGGGGTATAATAATTCACTTTCGAAAATTTTTCGAACCGTTTACTTTCAATTTGAAGCTGAACTTTAGAAAATCAAAACGGCAGATTAAAAATGGCAGACTGGTCTCGAAAAATTGCTGAATTCGTATCAATTTGATTATCCAGGGATTTTAAAGATTTGCAGCTTCGAGTTTGAAGTAAAGATTTTTTTAACGAAAGATGGAAAATTCAATGATAAATCATAATGAAAAAAAAATTGGATTCATCAACACGGCTATGATTAGATCAACCCAACAACACCCGGAGGCTCCGTGATCCGAATATGCACTCCGCATTGAAAAGCAATTTTTTTATTTATTTTTTATGTTCTTGCTTGTATAAGATATATGATATATGGTGTTCTATATCGAAACCTATATATGTATATTCTAACCAAAGATTCGAAATCAGTGACCCAAAGAACTTTCAGCAATCAATTTTTATGCAAATCGAATAAAACTCAAAGTGTTAATATTATTCTATATAGATAGAGCTCGTAGTAATATTATGTTCAGCGTGTTATTTTTGAGTATTGCACCAACTGGAGTTAGCCCGTTCATTTCATTTCTATGGCACAACACACTTTAGGTAGTGTAATACTCTTGAATGTCCCTTTATACAATTATATACATATGATTCCATTTATTCTACTTTTGGGTAAGCAGCAGTTTCTTAACATTTTAGCTTTGATGTCTCTGCTTGCGTACATGCAATGCCAGGCGCCACCGCCAGCTACTCTCGATTTGTTTCCGCAAGCTTGCAATCGTACTACCGACTGTTTTCCTAATTTATGCTGTCAAGAAGGTAACGGGAAGTACTGCAGAGCTCCAAAAAAATCACTGGCTGCCCTAGTCGCACAGGCGACGCAGGTGAGATGGTACTTCAAATTAAGGACGGATATAACACACTGCCGGTATACGTTAAATGAACACTGTGTGTTTTCAGAGATTTGCAAGAGGATAAATAAAAGAAATATGAACCGCTCGAAAATTACGCTTGACATTATTTGGTAATCTTGAACATTGGATAGATCAATTAAACTACGTCAGTATTTTTTAAACTTATATACTGATTTTTTGTCGTAATACAGATTATACATTCATCATTTGTTATTGTATTGTTCTTTTAACTTAAATATACGATTAAAAGACACAAGAAACACGTCGTTTGATACGAATGCATTCCTGTTTATTAGACAAATCAGCATCCGGCCATCAATCCAGCTGAAAAAGAAAGAAAGTAAGTTTATAGTTTTGTCGACTATAAAACCCTTGGGCAGCAATAAAACCACACAAGAAATTAGGACTACGAGTGCATTGAATATAATTTTAAATTCAGAAAAATTTAAATGTTTTTTACCTTCTTGAAACCGATGTCGGCCGCGTATTCCCTGAAGCACTGACGGCAAATATTTAATCCATACTTTCGGATGAGTCCATGCTTATTCGCGCAAGCACGGCTGGAAACGATAAAGTTGAATGTTATAATTTCTTCAGAATGATCTGGTTCGCAAATTGTAATCATTTTAAGGAAATGCGAAGTATGAAGTAACGCTATGAAGTTATCTTGATCGTGTAATGTCACAGACATAACCTTACTATAGACTAGCTTAAGTGGAATCCATAACTTGTATACGAATTTAATAGAAAAAGTTACAGTTGTATTATTACGTTTCAAAATTTGTTTACCCGTTTTTTTTAGAAATACTGTAATCGGCTATTTATGAAGAATTGTTACTTGTGAATAAAAGAGAGTAGCATAGCATGGCATGGACGCGTGGTGAACACGCGGTTACACGTTATGAAGTCTTACGTTGTTTTTAGCCATTTAATGTGTCTCCAAATGTAGTGTTCTTCCGTTAAATGAGGAAGTGATCGAGTACTTACCAGGACCGGGATCCTTGGCCGTATTTTCTTGGATGTGAATACCAAATGTTTTGGAAACCCATTTCGTTGCAAAAGACGTCTTTACCGGAAAAAGACAGCAGGCGTAAAGGCTAGTGCAGAGTGATGGCGCTAGTGAGTACTACCAACAAAGGTTTCGCATGTAGGCTCCAGATGGCGCTCGACCACTGGTGCAGGGTGACAGTTCGAAAATTACAATGTTGGTCAAGTTGCTTGCTCCGGGCTTCTCTCGTCTTCATGAAACTTATCGACTGTGTTCAGTAGAAACAACGGTGGCGTAAATAAGTTTGATTGGTTAAATTTTACAACTGTTGCAAAATTTAGGATCTAATGATAAGTTAAATACTTTAATCCAAACTATTTAAAACATGATATCTAGCAGAGTTGAGTGGGGAGATGCACAAGCTGATGCACAAGATGCACTGCTCCATCAGACCAAAGGAATAGGACAAGCAAGACAATCACAATGGAAAATGAGAGGGAACGGAGTGAAACGACAAGACAGAAGGGAAGATAGAAATGAAGAAGTTAAAAAGTAGAAAAGTAAGGAATAGGGGTATAAAAGTAAAGAATTAAATATAAAGAAATAAGGAAGTGAACGTAGTTTTTTTTTAGATATTCTACAATTTCAGTTCAATCTTTATCTACTCCATATATTCTGCGAGATTTTTATTTAGCCTCAATTTTATATTTTGAATAAATTTTGAAAGTAAATCATGATTCAATAACATTTAGTAAAAATTGAGGTGCTACACGGGTGTAAAGTTGGCACTGCGCTTTCTTAAAAATGTCTTAAAAATGTTTCAACAAAAGACTTTTTCAATAGTTCTTCAGAAATTCTATAATTCTCGGTCTCGTTCTAAGGGTTGCTTTGAGAACCAGCGGTGCGTAGCGGAGAACCTCTACTCGCCAAGCTACGTATTCGTGTTCACGTTTAACTCGGCTACGACGGGATTCGCATTGTCGACGGAGGCGATGATCACAAAATTCTACTTCCAGACTCGCCGCTACGATTTAGTGCCATGATTTTGGTATCGCCTAAAACCGTAGCGTTGGGCATCTCCCTACTCATCTCTGTACCTATTCATTTACTTGCGAATCTTAGAAAAATGATTAACATTGTTGCAATTCTTTTTAAAGGAAAAAAATGCCAATTTAATGTCGTTTGCCAGTTTTTACAGCTAAAAGCCGACATTACGAAAAGTACTTGCCAGGGATGCAGAAATTGTCGAAGAAACCGGTTCTCATATAGAATGTAACCCACGTGGAAGGTAAACTTGTGGCGGGGATTCGACAACGGTACTTTCAAACGGTGTTCTTGTATTACATATTTAAAGTTCCATTACGGTGGCAAACCGACTATCGACAAGGTTGTTGAGGCATCTTCCCAACGACAACAGTAGAATAGAAGAAGTTTGTAGCCAGTAGTTTTATTATCAAAGAGAAATGACACGAGAGGGAAGCAAAACCAAAGAGAGCAAAAAGAAGGTATGTAACTGCGTCACACCCACTGAGCATAAAGCGTAGAAAGAAAGAATAAAGAACGAAAGAGGAAAGAAAAGACTAACTACGCTCTGGAGGATAAGAGAATTCTCATATGATTTTGAGGCCGGTTATAAATATATTTCGTTATTAGAATTAGCTAAATATTATCTGTTGATGTTTGTAATTCCTACAACTTTTATAATTGAAACCGTTATAATTAAGTAGATCGGAAAAATACAATATTAAGTACATGTAACGTGCATCTTATTTGAAATTTCCTACTAATGTATATAACGTCAATCTAACAACACTTATATTGTTTACTGGGTCAGAACACAAATCTTTGAAGTCCTATTTTCTAACAGTATTTTAATATTCCACAAAGCACCCCAATCCACATATTAAATCTTTCAATTTGACTTTCAGACTGAACATACGACTCTGGTTCCCAAAAAAATATTGAATATAAAGGTCAAAGCCCTCTTTAAGATATTACTTTACGCGGTGGCAGGACCAGCGATTCTATATGGCCTGTTCTTCCTCTTGATCTATTATCAGAATAAATTTGTACATATTGAAATTAAGGAAGTGCAAATAAAAGATAAAAAGCCCTTGTTTTGGGTATACGCGAAAAATCCTGGAAGGGAATATCTCAGGCATGTGTTCATTGTCCTTGAAAGGCTGGGATTTGAACAAGGTAGCAATGAATCAGACTGGGACTTGTTGTGGGCCCATGATTATCCCTTTAGAACGTTGCATGCCCAATTGAGTAATCTGAAGCCTCATCAGAAAGTTAATCACTTTCCTGGCTGTGGATATATTACGAATAAAGTCGACTTGTCAACATCAGATGGAGAATACATTCCATTGTCGTTCAAAATTCCTGAAGATAAGGATGCTCTATTGCGGTACGCTATAGAAAATCCTGAAAGATCCTTTGTGCAAAAGTCGAACGCACATCGAGGAATCGAAATTCGCAAGATAGAGCAGCTCAATCTCACTACAGAAGGTTCATTCGTTCAGGAATTCATAGAGCGGCCGTTTCTAGTGGATGGATACAAATTCGACATTGGAGTCTACACTGTGATCACCTCTATAGATCCTTTACGAGTTTACGCCTACAAGGGTGATGTACTCTTTAGATTCTGTCCAGTCAAGTATTATCCATTTGATCCTGAAAATTTGGACAAGTATGTAGTGGGTGATGATTACTTGCCAATCTGGAATGTGCCATCCCTGAGGAAGTATTATGTTGATTTAGGATTCTCAATGAAGGATTCATTTGATGGCTATGTCAAGAGCAAAGGTAAGGATCCCTCGAAGCTTTGGAACAACGTCAACGCGGCCATAAGACAAATCTCTTTAATGAAAGAAAGGCAGATCAGAGAAGTCGCCAAGCGATTTCCAAACATGAGAAACTTTTTCGAAATGGTCAGATTCGATTTCACTCTGGACGAAAATTTCAATGTTTACGTGATGGAAGCGAATATGTCGCCAAATTTATCGTCTGCTCATTATCCGCCCAATCAGTTACTGTACGAACAAGTGCTATTCAATCTGTTCGCGCTTGTCGGTGTCGGACAACGCGTGAGGAAGGATTCTTTGAGGATGAGGTAAATGAGTCGTCCCCTTGATTGAGTCTGAAAGTAAACTCAAAGCGTAGTTGCATAATTGTGTATGTCGTTAAATGTGTGACGTAGGAATCGAATGGAAACGGAAATGGAAATTGCTGATAAGAACTTAGTCGTTCTACCGGAGGTTTGTGCAGCTTGCGACGATTGTTTCCGTGTCGAGTGTCAACTGTGTAAGCCCTGTTTCACCGAGGAAACGCGTCTGATCTTGTCCCAGAGCTACTACGAACATCATAATAGAATCGACTTCCAAAGAATCTTTCCTCCACCTATTGTAAGAAATTTTTTAATATAAATCCTTTTCTCTTTATTCTACAAACTTAGAGACAATCGTGTGTTTACTATGATCTTTCTGTTCTTTTGTTTCAGTCACGAAAAATGATTTTGAAAGATTACACACTGAGGAATCAATTGCTCGTGCGATGGTACCAGGGCAAATGTGAGTTGGATTCAACGTGGTGTGGATGAATAATCCTATTTATATTAACCTGTGATGGCTTCAAGGGAGCGCTTAAAAATGTGTTGCGAGTGCTGCGATGGCTGTATTAGTCAGTGTTCTCATTCGACACTTCTGAATAAATGGGGATCCAATGGAATCCGCCGTACTCGCAGTGAATTCCGAGCGCACCCGAAGAGGTACATGACATAACAATATATGTCTTTCATAAATCAAAAAGTATTTATTTATCACTCGTATTAAGTTACAATAGACGTAATGAACCTCTAGTGCAAATGTCACGATAAAAGGAAGAATCTTTAATGAAATTGAAGTGTCATTGTCAATTAATATCGTATTTATCATTACATAAGATTAAAATAAAAAGAGTGAATCGATATTCATCATCTTCCTAGGTTGCATTTCTCTTACGTCCCTTCTTAACCTTGCATTCTGGTGCGTTTGGATTTGTACCTTTGTAAAACTCTTTAAGTAATTGCATGGCTTCGTTACCTTTGACATTACCCTCAATAAAGATTCTAGTCTCATACAGTTTTGGTACCTCAAAGACACTTGTGCATCCGCCAAACCGATCATTAGCACAGCCATATATTATGCTTCGCACCTTAAGCTGATGTAGTGCTGCCGCGCACATTATACAAGGTTCCACGGTGACAATAACGTCAACATCTGTAAAGACTTCCATGTAGTTCAGTTTACGCAATTGACAAAATCTGAAAACATCGTCGATACAGTTTAATTCGGCATGGCGAGTGGCGTTTCTCGTCTCGTTTACAGTATTACGACCAGTGGAAATAACTTTGTTTTTGTAAATGAAAAGACAACCAACAGGGACTTCACCGGCCTTCAAAGCGTCCTTGGCTTTCTCTAGAGCTACATTCATCCATTCAATGGTGCTAGCCATTTTCTATGAGTATAACAAAAAATGAAATACAAAATATGATTTAACATTAACTTTTGAATGATTGCAATGGTTTCCTTATAAATCTAGATGAAGTAGAAAGTAAAAGATAAAAGAAAAAAGACCGTGATTGAAGTAAAAATAAGTGAAATAATAAAATTCCTAATAACTGTTATAGCAAATTTTTGTAGGCCCTTTATAGTGAACTTTTTTTATTGACGACTGATCAAAAAGGATTATTGTGTAAAGAACTGAAGAAGATTTAGTTCTTTCAATCTTTTGGTAGCCTTCTCATTCCAGTTAATGTTTCCTACAGACCTTGGACTAGGATGTGGTATATACATTATCTGTAAATAAAGATAGAATTAATATGTTCTACATAGAAAAAAAATAGTATCATAAATAAATTCTTTTTTGTAGTTATGCTTCAGCGATACCTGCGTAGAAAGTCCAGCAGATTTTACTACAGTCTGTGCCCTTTTCTCTGCAAATCGTCCAATGCCCACAATTGTCTGAACCTTCAAAAGCTTTATAGCGGCTACAAGAGCATCATCACAGTAGCCATAAAGGGATATTTGTTCAGGTCCCTGCAAAAGATAAGTCATGTCAGCAGTCCTGAAAAGTCTATAGGACACTTATTGCCTTTAGCTCTGCAGGAGTAATATTGCGTCCTCCAGCATCCATCAGTGCGATCGGGCAGTAATTATGTAGAAAAGCATATTGAAAAAAATTTTCAGGATTTCCACATAGGTCACGAAAGAGACTCCAGAATCTAAATCCACTGATTTCACTACGTGAACATGCAAACCCTGTTACTTTCCTGTCAGGTTGCTCCTTGAATGGTTTTCCAATATCACCAGATAATTTTAGCCAATCACGAACCATATTTACTTCTCCAAATGGTATTCCAGTTTGGGACATACCCCATGGCCCTGGATTCATTCCCAGAAAAAGTATTTTCTTAGCTGAATGGCAGTACTTGTGTACATACATGGAATGCACTTCAAATGCATATTCTAATGGACGATACACATATGCTATGGGATGATAAAACTCTATATTCTTCAGCTTATCATTTAAAGCTTGTTCAAGTACTAAGAGTTTTTCAGCAAGATTGATAGGTAACGGAGGAATAGCAGGTATAACAAAGACTCCACTGTCATCCAAATTATCATCAGTAGCATAATCTTTGTGTTCTTCAAATACAAGATTATTACTGTCAATAGTTGCATTTTCATCACCTTCACATATAACGTTACAATTTTTTTTAATACTTAAATCCAAAGGTATTTCATTGCACTCGAGTTTCAATTTTTTAGAGGATGTCATTTTCACACTTAATGAGAATTAATCCGTGTAATTTATTCGATCACAGGAGGTGGACTATTGCAATGATATAATATCCAATCTTGTATGTTTTTGTATCTTATGCCATTCAACGGATTATTAATATTTGTCCTCTTATAACGCTGCTTAGTAATCGTGTCTTTTATTGCTTTTATACGTAAAAAAATAAATTCAAAAGAGGGAGAGTGAATTTTTGGTATACCTATAAAAGTGTATCAATAACCATTTAGGCTCAAATGATACCTTATTGACACTTTTAAGAATTTTCATATATCTATAATGTTGATGTTTGGCGCTGACTGTACTGTTGATGAGGCGGGGAAGTGTAAACCAAATTCCATACCGCGTATAGTACTTACTAGAATTGGTACATCATCATGTGGTTAAAGTGTATATCACCTTTTATCTAGAGCAAGCTAGATAGCTATTGCAAAGAATAATACAATACTTGAAACGGCACTTTATGAAGAAGAAAGGGGTACAACATTGAACTAGATACAGGACTGGTCCATTGATACGCTCCTGAAAGAATTAAATCTCAACTTGATTTAAATTTATAAACTTTACTCCGGATAATTTTGGCACATTACAGCTTCCTTTACCAGCATTATTACGAGAAAGATAAACCGATACCAAGGTACACATTACTGAAGTTTTTGAACGTACTTTTATATTTGCAGGTCGGATTCAAATTTGTAACTTTTCAGAAAGGTTGCTATTCTACGAACAGAGTATCCACTCCTCTGTTACTTACTAGAGTAATTTCAGAAAAGCCAACACCAACCTTCCTTCCTTTTCTTAAGGCTGCCTCCCCCAATGAGATGTGCCAGGCCGATACCAACTGATACTGACTGATACCAATTACGGCACCATGTGGCGCATTCAAAATCACAGGCAATGACAGTCTCAGATGTTTTTCGATAATGTATTATAGAAATATCCTGCGATGTATCATGAGTAATGTGTGTGGCGATCTGCGTTGCGTTGAGCACTGTTGCCACTTCTCCCTAACCTCCCGGTATAGTAGATCTCTTCCATGATGATGCTGACTCGTGAGATTAGCGCCAACATACAATTCATTGGATATATCATATCTTCGTCTCCAGTTGTTTATTCTTAGTTTTACCTAGAACATAGGTTTTGGAAGTTATTGCATAATATATGTGTACCCATATATCTCGGTGTATCGTCCCTTTTGTATTGGTTGTCTTTCATAAGCCATGTTAAAATAACACTTGGTAAAACTTCTGCAGGAAGTATATTTTTCTTTTTTTTTAAATTTTTGTATCTGGGGTTCGGTTTGAGGGTTCTTTTCTAATACCCTCAATGAAACACTTATTACTTGATTGTTTCAGCACGGAGTGAGGCCGTAACTTCCTCATAGAGGTTGCTAAGGCTTTAAAAAGCGGGTTAGGGGGGGGGGGGGG